TGATGGAACATCCACCGTATTCTCCGGACCTAGCACCGTGCGACTTTTTTCTCTTCCCAAAAATCAAGTCTGCGCTGAAAGGGACCAGGTTCGAGTCCGTGGATGCAGTGAAAGCAAAAGCGACGCAACTCTTGAAGAGCATAACACAAGATGACCTGCAGCACTGCTTCCAACAGTGGAAAATTCGCATGGAGCGGTGTAGGGATCGGGGAGGGGACTACATTGAAGGGGATAACATTTCGACTGTCTGATTTTTTTTAATAAAGGGTTAGAGCATGAATCCGGTTTCTTTATTGCCACTACAGCTGCAACGATCAGGGACGCCTTTCTCAACAGTATCAAGAGTAACGGATTTCACAGTGACTTTTTCTCACGAAATTGGATTTCATTTGCTTGTGATGGGGCCTCTAATTTACTTGGAAGGCATGCAAGTGTTGCACAACTTTTGCTCCAAATGTATCCTCAATTGATTATTTGGCATTGTAGTAATCATCGATTAGAAATAGCGGTGAATGATACAGTACGGGAAATGTCAACAGTGTGCCACATGCAATCATTTTTTGATAAACTCTATTCCGTTTACAGCGCGTCTCCAAAGAACAAATCTGAATTAGAAACTTTTGCTGCACAACTGAGTATGAGATTAAATACCATAGGACGAGTGTTAGGAACGACACGTTGGGTATCGTCTAGTGCGCGGTATGTGAGAGCCACATGGAATAATTACCCTGCTCTTTATAAGCATTTTCACAATGCGTCTGTAGACCAAAAACGCACGGGAAGGGAGAGAGCTCAATATTCTGGATTGTAAAGAAAACTAAGCGACGTAAACTTTGTTCTAAATATGGGACTTCTGTTCGATGCTTTAACAGAACTTGAACATCTGTCTTTAAAATTACAAGAAAAAAGAATCACATTGCCTGAAGCACATCNACTCGGTATATTTTCATAATTTATGTCTATGAATTAAAAGGGGAAAACCATCCCGGTTCTATTTTCATTCCACCTCAAGCACTGAATACGAGTATTACACCAAGCGGTGCGTTGAAAGCCAACCGACGTTTCGGAGGAACACTCAGTCTCAATCTTGATGGACGAAGAATAGGCTAATCAGGAAACCAAATTGAAGCAGAGCCTTGCTTACTGTCTGCTTCACGCTAGCGTTTTGCAACGCTTATTCCTCACCATTTCGGAACAACATGTGACCTTAGTCTGCATGATCGAAGTAAGCATCTGTTATTTGCTTTACGCTGGTTTTTTGTTTAGTTTATTCTTCGACCATGAAACAAGGCCAGTGTTCCTTCGAAACGTCGGTTCACTTGGAATAGACTACACGGCGTTATTTCCCAGTATATAGAACTCTTAATAATTACCGCCGTGAGAACTTGAAATCCTGCGAAATGCAGATTCGAATATTCATCACACGAATAATCTCCATACACCTAACCGGCATGAGATCCGTGAAACTAGAAATTATAGCCAATGAAATGATGGCAAGAGAGAATATTTAGACACCCTTTGGTATCAGACGGAACTAATTACAAGAATTTGTTCAACTGGTTTACTTACTATGGGAATGTGAGGGCTGGGGTCATCTGGGGGTATGACACTTGTAGTCTGATAAATAGGCACAAAACTACACAGCAGAATACCCCAGATGACTGTTATATTCACATCTGATGAAGTTTCCATTTTCATCCACTTTAAGTATGAAATTTGGAAATCTCGTGACGAATAACATTTAAATTGAAATATTATGGGCTCTGTCGCCCTGTAATCTGTAAATGGATTGCCAGCGTTTAAAAGCAACATATTCCTCTATCGTCATGGTTGAAGATTTTTTGGGCTGTAGGAAAATATAAATCTTCACCTCCCTGAAATCGTCAAATGGAGAAGTGATATCTCAGTCGGTATAGAAACGGGGTTGTCCGACAGAAGCGAGGTATTTTTCTCCTGCCTACGAGTATAGCGTCCTGACCTCCTGACGGTCCTGACTGGTTCTAGGGTCCACACAACCCCTTATCCAATGAGTACGGTGGTTCTTTCCGTGATGTAAGTTAAGAATTCGTGGAACTACACTTCCACTCCCCTTAAGTCCTAATGGCTAAGCTTCTGCCGTCAGGGGGACAACTTATTCGCTAGCGTTGACTATATACACGTACTATATATAAAATTTATAATAGATGTTTATTGTTGTACACAGCCCACCATTGTTGGTTAATATCACCAAACGTTGCGATATTTGCTTTGTTATTGAAGGAGTCACAACAATAAAATTAATCCAAAATATTCGAAAAGGACATAAGGAACTTTTCACTATTAATTTAAGTTTCCTGTTATCTAGGTTGTAGTCTGATAGTCTAATTCATGCTTACCGACGTTTCGGTTCAGTGTCGGTAATAATCTACCAAAATTCACGGAATCACTTCGCAGGAGGCCAATAATCTTCGTTAGTATTTCTATTTTCATGTTATTACCCATTAAGAATGACATTTTGCGCGTCGTCTCGCATTTATAGCCTCCAGGGCCTCTGTGTGTATTAACCTTTCTTCAATTTATGTCAGTTATAACATACAGTAATCGTGCTGCAGATTCGAGCCAAGATTTCATGCAGGTATTACGACGGCTCATGATATGAGGTATTACTCTACCGACTCTACCTACGCGAGTAGAAATTTGTACCGATCTATACCATCTATACACCCACATTTGTTTCCCTATCTCGGAGGAAGGCTATATTCAATAACTGCTTACAGCGATCTGTAGCGATCTAAACGTAACCAGGCTGTTGGTAATCGGTGGTTGTGGTCTAGTAATGTATCGGAATTGTGGAATGTTGTCTGATATTTGGTCTTCCTAGGTCCGATAGGTCCGATAAGTGTTAAGGATTGGATAATAATTCAGATGTATAGCTGCATGTAACATATATATTGACTGAATACAGTGTTGAAACAATGTTGGATCTCTTAAGCTTACCCGATATCGTTCTAGAGAAAATACTGTCGTATCTAACCTACGACGAGATTGCTAGATACAGAATTGTAAGTTAATATAGGTTAGAGCCCTTATGGTTTTTTTATTCCACGGTGCTATGTATCCAGTGTGAAAATAACCTCTACCATGATGTAACATTAAGAACTATAATCATACAGTATATTCAATAATGCGGCAATTACACTGTCGTGAATTAGTATTTAGGATGGTAGTGGCCTCGTTATATTTGGCAATTTATCGTTAAGTTTAAGATTGTGAAGATGAAAACAAATATGTAAACTGATTAACCAGGAGACTTGGTTCCACAGTAAGTGGTGTTGAACAATTCATGTATCTTGTGTTCAGTTATATTTATGTTACTGGATGTTTAATTTAAAGTCACATTTCAGGAATAATAAATTTATCTGCTTGGCAGTAGTGTTTCCACCGAGTACCTGGTTAGGATTTATTGGCTATGTTGACAGAATTTCATAGCATCAGGCACACCTAAGGGTCGAAATAGACCTGTGCTTCCTTCCAACTTTTTCAACGACACCATATTCTGTGTAACTGATACAAGAATCAAAGTTGATGACATTCCCAAGATTTTCTATTAGTTTAGATGTCACTTCCTGTGTTAATTCCGTGAAAATTTTGAGTAGGATGTATATCACTAATGTCATTAGGTTTGATAGGTTATGTTAGTTTACCGTAGTATTTTTTAATCACTTTCACATATACTGACCTGATTATTGTGATTGCTGTGTGATGTAAGGAATGTGTATCATAATAATTTTTTTTTGTTCGTGCATCTGTACATTGTGTTTTGTGTTCTAGATATGTAGACAGTTTGATACTTTGTGTAAACAGCTGTTAAATAAAGGTTTCATCCTCGTGGAGAAACACCATGGCCACTGTCTCAAGGCAGTGAAGTCACAGCTTCCTCGTAGAGAATCAGAAAGGCGTACTCATCCATTAGCACGACACTGTGATATTCTAACAGCCATAGAAACACGTCTCTCTATTTTAGCCATGACCTTCACTAAATATATTGATGCTGGTGTCTGTTGCTTCATTCCAGGAAAGGTGAGATATTATGGTCTTTTTTTTTTAATTAATATGTTAACATTTTCACATGGAATTCATGTTCATTTTTTTGATAATACACCATTGTAGCAGATGGTTCTTCTGACATCCTATAGAGATCAGTGTCTCCTCTTCAGGATTAGGTTTTGTGTCAGTTCACTGTGAAGATGGAAATTGCAGTCTGTAATATTGGCTAATAGACGTGCCATAAAAATGTTATCACTAGAAATATGATCATGAATATGAATGCATTAATTTTATCTTGAAGTCTTCTGGAAGTGTTTGTTTTAGTACTTCCTGTAAACTGGTGATTATGGAGTGTTCAAATAAGACTAATTAGAAGGTGATATCCAAACTTTAGGACTGAAACATAAAACCATTGGTATGATTCTTTAACCATTAAGACTAGGTATGTCATCTCATAGGCTCTTCTGTTGGCACTATCTATGCAGATTCAAGTTTTTTCTCTTATACAAGGCTCTGATGTTGTTACATTCCTTCTGTCTTGACGATGACTTTTTATGTATCTCTATACTGCAGTCCATCAATCCGGACTGAGGTGGCTGTAGCACTCCTCAAAATCAGAGCTAATCCATCCTCGAAATATTCAGCGTAGAGGATTCATACTTGCTCTTGCCATACAGGAAGTTTGTCCATCCTGTCATGAGTAAAATGGGTGCTGTTCATTTGAGCCACTTGTAGATGTTAGTTCGTCATTCTTATTGGTGATTTTCTCTGTCACTACTTTGTCATTTTCATATTCAAGTATGAAATGCTTACTCATAGAGTTCATAAGAATTCTGAGTTCCCCAGTAATGGCAATTTTGCATATTTCTCTCACCTTTAATATGAAAGTTAGCCTCTTCAATCATGAGCAGTTTATTAGCAATATCTGGCACTGCAGCAACTCCAAGAAACGTCCATGTAACTACAGACAGTTTTGCCTCTCATTCACATTTAGTTTGTAGACTGTCCATTTTGTATGGGTGCAGATTAATTTCACGGAGACAGGTCATTTAGAGCTATGAGTAATGGGCATGGAAACTCAGTCCATGTTTTTGGGGCTCTAGTTAGTTTCATGGCCTTCACTGAACTTGTGATAGGGAATTTTGTGCCCCATACTGTGTTGTAGTGGCATCACACATTACAAACTCTACTACAGTATTGTAACATCTACTTTAGTAAATCACTCTACTTAAGCAACATAATATTGTAAAATTTACTGATCCATTTTAACCCAAGACTGCTTACTAAGTGGTCTCCCAAACCTGTTGTTCAAAGCCATCATGCTCCACCCTGCGTCACTGTATATACACAGATATTACCTGCAAACAGATTCAGTCAGTTGTTTCTGATAAGACTGTTTTTTTTTTATACTGCTGTGTCGCATATACGAGGATAAGTCAATATGTAAATTACAGACGGATATAAAACTTACACAAATAAGAGTACTGATTTGAAAAATGCTTTTATTTCTCAACATAATCTTCCTGTACATTGAGGCACTTGTCCCACCATTTCACAAGCCCCTGAAAACCAGCAGCATAAAATTCTTTGGGCTGCTGTCAGAACCAGGCAGTGACTTCCCCTTCTACAGCTTCGCCGGGAAAATGTTCAGCCAAAAGATGATGTTTAAGAGGGTCAAACAAATGGAAGTTGCTTGGAGCAAGGTCGGGGCTATACAGAGAATGCTCGAGGACTTCCCACTTGAAATTTCGCAGTGTCTCATTTGTCTTATTGGCAGTATGGGGACGCGTGTTGTCATGCAAGAGCAGCACGCCTTTGATGATGAGTCCTGGTCGCTTCCGTTGAATGGCCTTACAAAATTCCTGAGGATGTTACAGTAGGAGTCGGCATTTACAGTTTGTCCTTGAGGTTGGAATGTGGTGAGCAGTATGCCTTTGTGATCTGTCACTGCCTGGTTCCAACAGCAGCCAAAAGAATTTTATGCTGCTGGTTTTCAGGGACTTGTGAAACGATGGGACAAGTGCCTCAATGTACAGGGAGATTATGTTGAGAAATAAAAGCATTTTTCAAATCAGTACTCTTTATTTGTTTAACACTTTGCAGAATGGCAATTTAAATATTTAAATCACCCTGGGGACCAGCATTTTTAAACCTACTACCCTAACTTGTGCACTGTTCACTTTAAAAATTAATATAAAATCTCATAATTAATTTTATGAACTAAAATTTTTGGAGAACACTTACCAATGCTCCTAGAAGTGCTTGAGAGTGTGATATTTCTGGAAACATTCCCCTTTGTGAAGTGGCATTACACAGAACTTGCAAATGTAGGCAGTCATATTCCTTTTTCTGTGAACTGTGCAAACATGACATTGCCTGGAAGAATGCTTCCCCTTGGAATGTTCGCTCTTCACAATTTTCACGAGGGTATATTTCCGCCTATCACCCAAGAGTAGCCCAGGGGGGTCCACATGAGGCCTGAGAGGGGTGGGAGTTGATGGTCCTGGTCGCACGAAGTCTTTGTCTGACTCGTTCTGCCATTACCATCTGGTCTGTAGCCCAGGCCTTTGCCACATTCATCAGAAATGCTTTGTATTTCAATTTCGAATTGGGGTTTAGATTTTTGTAAAACAAAAATGAATTGAAAATCGCACAATTTATAAGTCACAAGGCAACTTTCTTTGTCCACTTTATTGTTTATCTAGGAAGAGAATAATAGGCCAAGTATTGATCGGCTCTATCAACTCCCTTCATGAACATATTATACTCAGAAATACAAATAGGCTTCTTTACTTGTCCATGTCTCCTTTGAACATGAACCATGCTCGAATTGTGAATTGTGGAAATCATATTCACAACACAACAGTTCTGCTACTTCAGACACTTGCGTTGTGTCTGATGGAATTTGTTTCACCCCTGGATTACCAGTAAACTATCCCAAAGTAGGCGTATTGTCTACTTTTCCCCATGTGGCTGTACCCGCAATTTTACTACCTGCACTTTCGTTGGAGCTACTTTCACTTTTATTGTCTGTGGCTACACTTGTTTGTTGACCCCTGTCACTGCCACTATCTCAGTTTTACTACTCCTCTCACAAGGCACGTCAAATAGCTGATCGGAGAACAAGTAAGATATTTCTTTTTACCCGAGATATCGCTTTGTCTTCAACCGCTTCTGTCCTTGATTCATATTGCACTAACATCCTGCCTGGTACATAACAGCTTGAAGGGTCAAAGATTATTTTCCTTTGGAGGGGGAACCAAAACAGCGAGGTCAAGTTACCACCTACTAGGCAAACATTCCGGAGTAATATTACACAGTAGTCATTCATTTGGGTGGCACCAGAGAGATGTATTGTGTGTTGCAACTTATCGTGTTCTAAAAACCAGTTAGCAGGCGAACGGTCCGCCATGTTCAAAAGTGAAAAACCTTTTAAAGGGTGCGCGGTCCGCAAAGTGTTAAGATCAATATCCATTTGTATCTTACTTATTGACTTACCTACATACATTCTTTAATATTCTGATTACCCATATAATAAGGAGTCCCTTCCAGTGACAAGGTAATAATTTTCATTTACTAAATGTATGCAGGTTTTAAGAAATACACAGAATTCTAATCTCTGATTCCTTCCTTCAGGACATAAATATGTGTGAATGTCAAGTAAGGTAAAGTTGTCCCTGTGCTTAACTAATTAAGCACGACACCTTGAAGGTGTATGGTGGAGTGGATGTATAGATCCTTGGTTTCTTGATCTCGGCATTAGTTGGAGATGAGTGGTCAGCTTCATGCCCCGGCTGCTTTAACCTGGGGAAAGAGCCCCTAGCACCCATTAGATAAGAGGTCGGGTGGACCCCAGAGCCAGTCTGGATGACATGGAGAAATGAAAAATCTTGACCCCACCAGTACTCAAAACTCCACTCCCCCAGTCATCCAGCCTGTAGCCAGTCGCTAGACCAACTGCGCTATCCCGGCTCATGAATGTCAAGTATTCTCAGGTTATTTTACATCATAACTTCATAATGTGACCAGTTACTAAATTTTTATTATCTATTCTATTCTTCCAGTAATAGCACCAGACAGCATCTCCTGATTAACGTCTTTGCTTTGAGGGCCTATCTTATGAATATTTTTGTTCCTCTTAGATGTTCGAATTTTTTTTTTGTGTATGTACTATAACATTTACAGGTAATTGATGAAATTTTTCGAGTTCTTCGTAGCCTCAAGGATTCTGAAACACCTCCTAGAGCTCATGAAGTCCTGCAAGAGTTGAGAGACATTTCTTCTATGGCCATGGAACATTTTGATGAGAAAATTGTACCATTCCTGAAACACAGTCTAAGCTCCTCTGCTGCTCACTCATCATATTCTATGACAGGTACAGAAAACAAAGGAGTGCCAATAATATTATGATTGTTGTGCAGACAAAATGTCATATTTATGCAATCTGCATAGGATCTTGTTTGATGGCTGGCACACCTACACCTCGAATATTGGGTCAGGAGAAGCTGCGTTTGGAATTTAGCAAGATTCACAGCAGAACAAAACGGAACAAAGCATTTGTTGGATGCCTCAAAAGGACTGTTGATAATCTCACTTTGAAAGTAAGCTGATATTTGATTTTCTTGTCTTATGTAACGCTATGTAGAGTTTATGTAGTGTTCAATAGGAATGCTGGAACAACCTGAATGAGTTGTCATGATATAGCAGGAAGAAATCAAGGCCCTCTTGAGTATATTGTTTGAACAGTGTTGTTTCCACAGAGTGTCTGGTAACTCCAGATAACAGAGGGAACATTTCATTACATAGGCTTCCAACAAACTATGCTACCAGCATTAGTACGAGGTGGTATAGGGAAGTTCCCAGACTATTATTGTTTAACTGCCTCAGTGAAAGAAGATGAGAAGGTAGGGCAAGGTCACACTTCTGCAAGCCAATTGCATCAGCCTGCTATATGACACTGCGCTGTGAAAACACACTGCTTTTACACAAGGGCTTTTTCAACTTGGTGTTTCATTTTGTCTGCAATGGATGGCAAAATTGAGCAAAGTGCCTGCATCAAGTTTTGAATGAAGCTTGGTAAATCCACTACCGGAACCCTTGAAATGCTTTGTGAGGCTTTTGGAGAATATTCTTTCAGCTCGACAGCAATTTTTGAATGACAGTCAAGTTTGAACACCGGTCAAGTGTCAGTTAAAGATGACAAATGTTTAGGCCGACCAAGCACCAGCAAAATGACAGAAAATGTTGAAAAAATTCGAGAACTCATCAACAGAGACCGTCATCGAACAATCCGTGAGCTCCCAGACACTGCTGGGATCAGTTATGGAGTTTGCCAGATCATCTTAACAGAAAATTCGAACATGCGTTCCACTGCTCCATCATGACAACATGTGTGCCCACACATCCCTGAAAACCACAGCAACATGGTTATCGTTCCCCATCCTCCCTACTTGCCGGACTTGGCCCCTTTTGATTTCGCTTTGTTTCCCAAATTGAAAATGAAACTGAAGGGATGACATTTTGAAACAAGGTGTGACATCAAAAGGGAACTGCATGCGGTACTTGATGCCATTACAGAAAATGACTTCTACAGTGCTTTTGGAAAAACTGATGGAATCGCTGTATACGTTCCCAGGAGACTATTTTGAAGATGGCAGCCAAAATTTAATAAGTTAAGCCAGCATTTCTTTTTTGACCTAGTCCAAGAACTTCCCGATAGTACCTCATGCCTTCATTACCAGATCATTTATTCTGGACTAAATTTTTTCAGGAAAAGGGGGGGGACTCTGGATATTCCAGAATGAAAACCATAAAAAACCACAACTGCTGTTTCTAAGTTGAGATTCAAAACGTGGTGTCGTAACCACTACACTGCTACATTCCATTTTGACTGTGGAGTATATGTATATGTAATTAGTCTTGACAGAGTAGTCTTTGTTATACTGTGTATCATCATGTTGCTTCCACTGAAAGCAAATACAAAACTTATATCATTTACATAGGATTTGAGGTTAGTTACAACAGGACCAGATGATGGCAATAAATGGCAGTATAGTCAGAATTATAGTGGCAGCCCTTGCCAGACAGGTGTCTCTTAGACTGCTGGTATTGTGTTTGTTGTTGTTTGTTCTACTAAGTTATCCAGAACTTTCCACTTTAATTAAATCACGGTTCTGAAGTGTCCCCAATGTGTATAATGTATAGCAGTGGGTTAATACAAGAGTTATCCATAGAAATTGTACATAGAGATGGGAATTATCAAATTTTCCTGTTGAATTTTAAGTAAGTGTTCACTGGTTATTTGGATAACATATTCTTCCAATACAGTTAAAACGATATGGTGCACAGCTGACTGTGCAAGCAGCAAAGATTCGTCAGCAGGAAGCTAAGTTGGCAGAGCAAGCAACTAAACTGACAGACCAGGATGCACATATTGGAGAGCTGAAGAGACACTTGGAGGAGTGGGACCATAAGTTTGGTGACCTCACTGCTGAACTGAGCCGTGCTCGTGAGGAGAGTGGAACCATTGCAGAGGCAGGGACGAGTCATGATGTAGAGGGCAGAGTTGCCAGGAAGATTCTGCCAGTGGGAACCGCTGAGACTGAAGGCCGAGTGGGTCGAAGGATGGTAAGGAATGCAACAGTAGTAAGTGTCGATGTTGCTGATCCTGGACAAGGAAAAGACAAAGATAGAAACTGCAAGATAAAGAGGAAGGCAGAACCAGAAGCCTGCAATATCAATGTAACAAAGAAGATGAAGGTTCAGTCTTCAAATAAAATGTCTGAATGATTTTTTTTACATATTTTACAGCCATTTAACATATTTTTGAGAGGCCCCGAGTTGAATGACTGGTCTCATGGCCTGTTACAAATGACTTGCTAATTTTTAAACTGCAATGCATAACTTATGTAGGAAAGTAATGGCTCTGGTCTACGAAACCATTGTGTTGACCACGCGACACCCTCTATCCACCAAAAAAAAAAAAATGTTGGCGTTAACTTCGCCGACAAGTGGCAGTTGCTCGGTCAGTATAGTTCGCTTGCGGACTCAAGCCACGGATTTTTTGTTTCTTTTTATTGCATAACTTATAAAAGAAAATGACACACAGTTTTGTACATACTGTAATTTTCATTAATATGATACTGTAGCAAATTCTGATCCTATAAGTGGTAATTTTTGTGAAGACAAGTTTTGCCACCACCTTTGCTTTAAAATATCATATCTCATTTTAAGATGGTGTCAGTATTAAGAATATACAACACTGAATGTTAGGATGACTAATGAATAATGAATTCTAAAGGATTTGGAAGAAGTAGCCATGACCTCAAGGTACTATCCCAGCATTTGCCTGGAAGAACTGAGAGAAACCTCAAAAATCTGAAATCAAGATGGACAGTATCCTGGCCAACACTTATTTGAGCATCTTCTGAATACAAGTCTGCACCAACCAGCAGTTAGTAGTGACTTTAATTCTCCTGGCACTACAAGGGTAGCAGCCATATTTTAATTCAGGGATAACAGTATTAGGATTAAAGATATGCAGCATTGAGCCAGCAGGACTACACAAAGTGACAACCCCAATAATCATTGCATGGCTAATAAAAGTTAAACATGTCAGTTATTCACTTATAACATTACTTAAAATCTGTAACAGTTGATTCAGCATATTCATTCTTAAGTATGAATACCCATACTGCCTGAATCAGTTTTCCTGTGAATGCATCTTGTATGGAATGGCAGGGATTCACCCAGCAGAAAGCATTAACTTACATCACTGTACTCAGTACAGTAGAACACAGTGGTGCATACATACATTTTGAAAGCCATCACTCCTCCCCCCATAACCCCTTCAATGAAAACTCAATTTATCTGATACTTACAAAATTTTTGTGGCCAACAGTGCAACAGTTTTCACCCTTAACTCAGTAGAACTAAGTTTAGGAAGTAGAGACTCAAAGTTCGCATCCACATTTGATTGTATACTCTTGTACTTGCAAACTGAACTTCTGTTTCTCATCCTGGGAGTATATTTTGTGACATATTTTTCGCATTTTGTGCTTTGGAGGGGACACTGTATTGATTAACTACATGTTCTTTCATTGTTATGCTTCGCTGTCTCAATTGTCTAAAATCTGACACAAGTGCAGAAATTTTTGAGAAAACACCATTCAATGTATGTAATTATAATTTAAAAACATGAAGTATTTTGCTTTACAAATAATTTTGGGTATACATTATTTATTACTGTATGTTATCTGAGACAGTCTGCTAACACTGTATTATGTTTGTTGCATTATTACCTACAGCTCAGTAAAGCAAAGAGTGTTCCCCAGTCTAAGGATAGACTTGGTATTACTAGTATTTGAAAAATCACTCTCAGGTGTTATTTTTCATAACAAAAAGAGACATGAATAAAACCAATTGTACAGGGTTGTGAGAAGATACTGTATTACATTTTACATTACTGTTTCCCAAACTTCATCCATTGTGTGATATTCTAATTCCTTCACTTTATGTTACAATGATTCAATATAGGATCCATCATTGTTATTACACTTTCAGTACCTTAATGTATATTTTTATCAGATTTTCTTATGTCTCCTAGTACTTTACCTGGAAAATTTTCTTTGAAATATGTCAAGAGATCCTTTATTTCGATTTTACTCTGCTGCTTTGGTCAGTTACCTGCAGAAATAAGTCATATGATGTTAAATTTTGATTTGAAGCAGGCCCCTGATTACTCACTGTACAGAAAAGTGGTCTCAATCCAGGCATAAACTGTAAATGCTTAATTTCTTTTCAGAGTATAGTGTAAGTTGTGTGACAGGGTGTCTCCCACCATCTTTGTCTACTACAATGATTTTTTGGACCTCACCCAAACATTACTCACATAACACATTTTTTCCCTAACTTGATGTTTATTGTTTCCTATATATCTTTATGTTACATAATTAGTCTATGGTTTATCCAATTCATGTAGTATCAGGGAAGTGAAATCAAGGTTGTGCTGGCCTGTATCTTGCACTGATCTGCTTTGGGACCATGTAGCAGGACTTGTTATTGGTGCAAACTTTGAATAACAGGTTCCCATAAAAGGCACATACTATATTTCAGATTCACACATTTACTTAATGCTGTATGATAAAACAAACTGTGACTTACAAATTACTTTCATTTTTTTTGTTTGGTTTTCAAAGCTGCAGAATGCTCATAATGATCTTAATAAGAGTACCATCCAGTGCAACATATTTAGGGCAATTTATTCTACTGCCAGGACATGTTTTGACTCACATGGTTGACACTGTTTGAATTTGCTAAGAAAAGATGACTGTCTCAGCAAAGTACTATTTTGTCAAAACTACATTCCACATATTAGCTGTTGTAAATGGGCATAACTGTGGTGAGTTCTAGGCCATCAGTAGTTATCTAGAGCATGAGGAAGATACTTGTAAGTGGGCTGTAATTAGGATTGGAGCCCATATCAAAAACATTTATCTTAGCTGTAAGTCAGAGTTTGTGCTGTTCTGTCATATGCCTTCAATAAATAATTTTGAGGTACAGACATTCTTTTGTGGAAATCCTGCATTATCATAGAATTGGTTTAAGACAGTTTGCGCAAGCATTATATCAAATGTTAGCAAATAATAATGCAGATCCTCTGTCCCCTACACTGTCATTAAAATCACTGATATTGTAATATATTAAACTTAATTTTAATGTAAAGTTGTAAGTTGTACATGCTGCTCAATGGTTCGAAGTGTTGACATTGTATTTGCTCTTTAATGATTGAAGTAAATAGCCAATAGTGCAGACACAGAGTTAAAAACATTTGCATGGAAACATACTGTCCCCATTCTATGACAAGACTAGTGTAAAAGCCACTGAGGAATTGACCTATGTCTTATTATTACAAAAGTTTTCATACTATGTCATTTGCTTTCTCCTTATTCCTTTCCAGTCCTACATCTTGTCAGATGATGAAACAAGGCGTGTGTTTAACATTGTCTCCACAAATAATCATAAACCATCTCCTTTATATAGTATACTGTACTTCAAACATCACATCAAAATATTACGAGTATTCATAGAATAAATGTGATACACTGACATAGTGTGTCATTACGGTAACCTGAAACGGCGTACTGAATGATAAATCTGAGTCTTACAAAAGTTTCATATGTAGGCTAGGTTCATGGTTATGAATTACGGAAATAAAAGCTCTGTTAGTTGTACAGAAATATATTGAACTGTGGAGAATGTAATAATTCTGATGTGTTAATAAATTTTAAAATTGGTTTCTTTTGAAAGAGGGAATTATTGGGGAAGTGTAAAAAATGTTTAGCATTTGGAAACTCAAAACATTCAAACTTCGAAAATTTTGTGAGGTACAGGTAACTGTATCCACTAATAGCAATTACTGTCTTTCGATGTTATTTTGAGTTGGGTTTTGCAATTCCTATCAAATATTTCTGAACATGAACTTGGGTCCAGCCATCTAGAGAACGATCCCTCCCCCCCTTTCATCAGGCAGATACAGTATTAGGTCGATGCACAAGTCTTTTGAGATGGCACGTGTCCTGTCACTATCATGCCAGTTAATTTGAATGCTATGTTTCACTGTAAGCATGGCAAGGTATGTTCAATGTTATTACTCTCTAAGCATGGCAAGGTATGTTCAATGTTATTACTCTCTACTTTATTTGGCATGGCAGACAGAGAGAATGATCCATGCTCATCTGTTCCTAGTTCATCACAGTCATTCTGTTGTACCATGTTCCATACTACAAAATCCAAGTCATTAATATTATCTCATAAAATAACCATACAATTAAATCCAATCATAGATGTGAAGTGTTAGTTTTATTATAATGACAAATTGATTTCACATGTGTCGCACACATACAAATATATATATATATCAGTTCACGTTGTACTAAACCAGAGAGTTTCCAAATCAAAACTACTTACTGACCAATTGCATTAATATGTTATTCATTGTTTCTTGGTGTCTGGTGAGGCTCTCAAAAGCACTTGCAACAGATGTAGCCAAACTGTCAACAGAGGAGGCGATGCGATTCAGTGCCTCCAGCTGACGATTCTGTTCCAGGCGCTCACTGTCACATAAGAACATAATTTTTAGTCAAATGCTAACATAATTATTTAAACAAAGAGTTAACCTGTATTCACACTTACCCAGTAATCATGGTCTGTGTGCCCATGTTCATACTTGGCTCATACATGTCCTCAGCATCCTCTGCAAAGCCAAAGCAAATTATGTGACTCAGACCAATGTATGTCTAAAACGGGTATTAATTCTGTCAATGCCAGTTCCCAGAGAATTTCTAGTGTCAATATGAGAACACTGCACAATGAACTAACATCTTTAAATGAAAAAAGGTGAGTCCAATGAATCTAAGCTTGCAAATTTTGATCACCCCCCCCACACACCATTTTCAAAGAAAACAATCAAAACTTGATATACGATCAACCACTGGCCAGCAGTCTTATACATGGTGGGTTTTTGAGAAACCAGTGCATGACATCTGCTGAAGAATGGCTGAGTGACATTTGGCGTTACTCGTAAGGGCAGCTGCACATGAACTGTGTCAAGACATGGGACAAAAGATGCAGTCTTGCTTCATTCGTGATTCATCAGCATGAAACTGACATTAGCATCATGTCTCAGACCGGTGTGCGGTAGTTTTCATAATCTCATTCATTTCAACCGTGCTCCCTTCTCTGTATCACGTCGCAGACATCGTGTCTTGACACATGTCAGTGTGCAGCCTATCTAACAGCTGCACACTTGTCACTCATCAAACTGAGGACGGGGAATCAGAACATTTTTTATTAAATTTTTGTTAGATGCATAAAACATACAATGAAATGCCCAACTTTATACTAGGAAAGTCAGTGTTGTACATTGTAATCATCATAAAATATCTTTTGAATGGAATGTGAAACAAAACTACATGAACATCACCAGTGTGCATGAGGCAAATGCAAGAAGATGAAATGGTGCTGGAGTTGTATATCAAGGTTTATTTTTGTTAGTGGTACTATATATTTATTGTAATTTCCAATAGTTGAAACCCAAAATTATTTTATCCAATGCCATTATAGCCAAAGTTATGACAGTGACCTGGAGCTTTCTCTAATGTTCATTTACAAAACTACCTAACAAATTTCAGTGAACAATGATACCGAGATTTCATTCATGTTTTTACAATTAAACATAAGCTGCTTTTCTTTAACAGCACAAAGTATTGTAATACAGATTCCATTAGCATGTGTAACTTCTATGACAGATAAGAATCCCATGATAGTGGTGACTATGAACATTACTGTTTTCTGGGATGGGATTTCCAAATATTCTGATACATACTGTTTCAGATGAATAAGCTGCCTCCATCTTCAGGATAAAGCCATGCATGATAAAATCAGAATAGACCCAGGGAGAGGGAGTACTGGAGCCTAAGCAGACTAACAGAGGTAATATTTTGTCCTTTCTCCCAACAGGCCTGGCCACAGTTTCCTTATTCTGTTTATCCTATTTCCCATGGATTCACTCGGATCCATTATTTCTTTCAGTCCGCTTACCCTGGGAGAACAAACTTTTAGAGGAATCGCCTGTCTGAGCGGCTCAGTGATTTTCAGAAAACCCCATGATGACGGCATTACATTATAGTACCAAGCCAATCATATAGCCGGTGAGGGGAAAACATGACAATAGCAGAAGGACCATAGGGGGAAAGTTTCATAATGAAGTAATACAGATGAAATCAGTGACCCAGTGACCACACAGCTAAAGATGTGGACATAGAAGGGGGTGAGGGGGAGTAGCATTTACATCTTGCATCTGTACATCACAGTCTTTATGAGTCATCCAGAGTAACTTCTTCCTTAGATTTGATATTTTATTCTTTGCTTTATTCAAGGTGATACACTCTTTGCCAAGTATAATCAAAATGTTCAAGTCAAGGAGGTTGAGATGGGCAGGGAATGTAGCATGAAGGGGTTAGAAAAGGAATGCATATAGGACATTGGCGGGAAAGCCAGAATGGAAGAGATCACTATGAGGACCAAGACATAGGTGGGTGGATAATGTTAAAATGGATCTTAGACACATAGGTTGGGGTGGTATGGACTGAATTGATGTGGCGCAATACAGAGACCAGTGGAGGACTCTTGTGAACATGGTAATGAACCTTGGGTTTCCATAAAATATTTGGAACTTCTCAAGTAGCTGCATAACTGGCAGCTTCTCATGAAGTTAGTTTGATACTGCATGTCACAAGATAAGTGAATGAGAAGTTCCTTACCATCCTCATCCATTTCATTTGCTTCATCCCATTCCTGCTGTTCCAAAACCATTCGTTTCAGAGCTTCCACTGCCTTCTCGTGCTTGGCACCTGTAGCATGTTTTTCCAGCTCGCTCTTGCCTGCATTCAGAACTGTATTGCAAGCAAGGCAACGAGCCTTATATGGACTATCTGGGTCTGGACTGAGCCAGTCCTTGAATTCTGGAATATCAAGCCATTCCAAGCGAAATGATTTGCGTTTGCGCTGCTGTGCCAACTGAATCTCACTCAAATGTACGGCTTTTTCAAATGCAGGTGAAGAAGAAATCATTGTTACACCAGTGTCTCCTTCTGAATCCTCACTGTCAGACATAAAACAATTATGTCACAGCTGATGACAGATGATCTGTATAGTTACAATATTATACTGCAGCATCCTGTTGCACTTTCCACTGTGACGATTAGTTACAGTCTTACGTGCAACACTATGTTCTATAAGATTTATTAATTTTAAAAGTTTAAAAGTCCATCACTACACGTTTGTACGAATGTGGTCATCACCAGGTGTTCAAATCTTTGGTGAGGAGACTGCTTTCTTCAGTTATTCAATATACATACGTATATAGGTCCTCTCAATATGCAGCAAAAAACCCCAAGAGAACACAACCCACCAACTCTAACACATATGTGAACTGAGAAGACTTTATATATATATATATAACAACATAAGACAGCAGTTTCTTCGCCAAAGATTTTAACACCTGTTTATGACCACAGTGGTCAAAACATGTAGTGATGATGTAGTTTAACACATACTGGTTGAACTTCAGGAGCATATCTGACAGGTCATTTGGAGATAGGTAAATTTGACAATGCTATCAAGTGCTAACTTAGTGTAGCACTGAATAAAAACCATCTTCTCAACTCATCTTTATAATCATTTTAAACATAAAACGTGATTTTCAAGGTTATTACAACACATGTTCAAAATGCCCATCATTAGCTTGCACACATGCATCCCTATTAGATTCTTATACCAGTGGTGGCTTCTTCTATGGCCTTTACTAAGTGATCACTTGCTTCTGGTTTACTGCCATGATGCTCTCAACTTCATTCCACCCCACAGAAAGAAATCTAAATGGTTTAAATCAGAAGACTGAGCGGGCCAAGCCACCACTCCACCTCTTCCCATCCATCTTCTTTCATAACCTTCAGTAAAAAATTCCGTTATGGCTCTGCCAAAATGCGAAGGTGTTCCACCATGCTGTAATTGCATTCATCTTTATGTTACAAGAGGCACATCCTCAAAATTCAACGGTAACTCATTTTCCAGAAAATTCCTGTAATATGGAGCTCAATAACATGGATCAATCAGGTTATTGCCTAACATCCCACATCACACATTAACTGAAAATCAGTGCTGAACATGACATTCTGCTACCTTATGTGGATTTGCATGTGCCCAAGAGTGCTAATTCCTTGCTCTGGTATTACCACCCTAGGTAAACGGAGCCTCAATCATGAACCAAACATCAGGCACAATGTGTAGGCATGGTATCAGCCATTCAGGGCCACGCGGCAGCGTAGTTGGTTAAGGCACTAAGCTACAAACTGGAAGGTCACAGGGTCAGTTTCCAATGTCACTGGCTCTGTCAACTGACCTAACTTTCCAGCTGCACTATGGCCCTGGGGTCAACTCAGCCTCTTTAACAGAAATGAGTACCAGGAATCTTCTTGGGGCAGCCAGCACGTAAGGCTGACAACCTAACCGCCATTTGTGAGCCAACTGTCTAGAAAATGTGGGAACCTCAACGTCTCACAACCCTATGGGCCTTCATGGCCTGTTACAGGGATAGCCCAACTTTCTTTTTATATCTTTTATGGTTGCAGCCATTCACAAAATCAAATATGGGTGGTGTGATCTCCTGGTAAGAGGTGATGTACTCTTTGGAAATGATACAGATAGAAACCATCATGGTGCAAAATTCTCCATACCTGTGTCTGTGCTATACCAGTTGCCCTGGAAATTCTGCATATACCTGTGCCCAATCATTTTCATTGCAGAAATCATATATGAAATACAGGTTGGTGTATTTTTCACTTGTGAAGTTACATATTTTGACTTCACACTGCAAAAGAACACAGCCACACTAGCCTAAACAGTGTATAAGCTGGAACTTGGCTAAGTTACAGCAGCAGCTCCGGCTCAATCCACTAGACTTAACTCGATAATGGTGTTGAATCAACTTTGAGTGTAACGGATATTTTTTGCTCCAAATGACCTGTTTGGCCAATATGTGTCAGAATATATTTGTGTGATTATCATTATCATGAGAAATTTTAATTTTGGTCTCAATAACAGTTAATAATAAGCATAACGCATCTGTGAAATGCAAATGTGGATATCATTACATAACTGCTGGTCAATAAACATGAAGAGTATCACTAGTCAAAGACTCAATATGAACAGTGTGCGCAGTGAATACCAGGTAACATTATCAACCAGTGACTTGTAATATGGTCTGACGAATGCAATGGAACATTGTGATGATTTAATAACAAAATTGAAATGCAATGTGCTGTTCGAAAACAGCATGGTTGTAGTGGTTAAAACTATACTCGTACATACAATAAGACAATGCAATACACCAACATTTCAGACACTAATTCATGTTTTAAATATGAAATTTTAAGTTCTTATGGCAGTGACCATGAAAGGTTATGCTTTTCTGGAATGTGATGCTGTATAGGCTGTGTTTCAAAGGAATATGCTGCCTACTTCATGGTAGAAGAATAAGACTAGTGTTGAAAAACAGTCATTCTGATATAAGCGAAAGAGCCTGGATTGGCCCTGTAAGCAGACAAACAGGAGAGAGCAACACTAAGACGTCACAGTTATGCTATGGGAAAATGTAGTGGTGGAGGAGTGTATGGGAACGGAAAGAAGAGTGGTGACAGGATGAAGAGGAATATACGTAAAATTAAGAAAAGAATAAAATTAAATAAATTCAAAGGTTGAAGTAATTAAAATAATGAAATTTAGGAGAAAGGAAGGTACAATCCAAAACAATAGTACAAGTAAAATAAAAAGAACAAAGTTTAGAGCAAAACAGTAAAGGTCACTGCAGCCCTGCAAAGGATCACTTAATGGTAGATCCATCAGAGAAGAACTAAGAATCTTAAAGATGAAGAAAAGAATACAAATCAGAAAGCAGGAAACAGGTAAGTAATGGAAAGAGAAAATGGAATAAAATAGAATGCAAAAAATATGCAAGACACAAAATAAATGGGGGTCAGGGAGAGAAATGGGGTACAAAACAGGCATCCTACAACAGATAAAATCCAGAGGGGGGGGAACAAAGAGTAGAAACCTGAAAGACTCGGGTACAGACAAAAAATGAGACATAGACCATGATACATATGGATGAAAAAGGGAAAGATAAAATAAAAGGAAAACTTAAAAGATGGGCACAAGAAAGGCATATTTTTATTCTACTTTACTCCCTATCAGGTTTCACTTATTTCATTTTCTATATCAACTTTATTTCTATTCCTGTTCATCATCTCTTATCCGTTTCCTTCAACTCCCCCTACACTCTCCCCCCTGTGCCCTCAGTATAACCATTATTTTGTAGTACTACCATTTCCTATTGGTCTGCCAATAGCCCCAGTCCTGGTCCTCCTTACCTGAATCAGAGCCACTTCCTTCTATGCTTATTCTGTGAAGATGGAGGCAGTACATGCCTCAAGAACGTAGGTAAACACCCACCAGACAACACAGCACCACATTCCAAATGACATTAATCTTCATAGCCTAATATTCATGTTACAGTCCCGTTCATTCCTTTTTTTTTTTTCATCTTTCCTATTGTCTAAATCAACAAACATTTACTCCTGCATCTTCAGCATTACATGAATAAACATACCCAACTGCCTCATTCACAACTTCACATTTTACACTGGGCTCTATGTTGCGACGCAATAGTATGATCTTTCGAGGTTGGCCACTGCTGCCTGACGAACTTGCCATTCTTACTTTCCCTAAAAACAGACACTGCAACTGAATTCAACCATGCACACATTTAAGACACACAACTGTAAGAAAGTTAATGTACCCATTCATTTTAATGGAAAATAACCAATGATAATGAGCATGAAGGTCATCTCTTTTCTCTTAATATTTGTAAGTGCCCAGCTCAAATCATGATGCGATACACAATTCAAAATAGAATTGCTCCATGGAATGAGACAACAGTCAAGAACTCAATGATGCAGCAAAATATGGAAATGAAACCCCAGGCATATGTACTGTGAGGGTGTAAAAATGATGATTTAGGGTCTGTGTCCTCCTGACCATAACTGTTACTGGGTATGCAGAATACAAACAAACTCCGTGGTTTTAGTTTGCAAGCGAACTATACCGACCGAGCGACCGTTGCTTGTCGTCGAAGTTGGTGCCAACGTTAGTGGATAGAGGGTGTCGCATGGTCAGGCAATGAATCTCAATGGCCGTTAATTTCGGTTTTCTAGACCAGAGCTGCTATTTCCTTGCAACAGCTCCTCAATTATCCTCACGAGGCTGAGTGGACCCCGCTCCAGACTCAATACTTCTCAGAAAACCTGGTAACACCAGGAATCGAATACAGACCTCGGGATCTGTAGCCAGCAACTCTGACCACTAGACACCAGAGGCAGTGGTTATGAAGAAATCGGGAAATAAAAACTACAGTATTTAGTTTAAAAAGTAGGAAAATAAAAACAATCTATTCTGGATTTGCTATTCTCACAGCAGTGACTACGATGAATAAATATCTCCTGGGATGTAACACTGAGTAGCCCAGTGGAAGCTCAGTCACATTTTGGTGGAACGTACTGCCTCCATCTTCAGTGTTAAAGAATAAGCTGAACTCAGCTTCAGCTAATTTGGCTTACTCTACAAACCTGAAGATGGAGACAATACATTCCTGCAAAACAATGACGAACTTCTGCTGACTACACAGTGCCACAGTTGCATGAACAAGCCAACAAAACGTATATACAATATGACCTCACCTATTAACTGCCCAATCACTGCTTTCCTTTTTCTTGAATTTTGAATGGTTGTTTGATGCCCTGAGCAAGCAGCATGTTTACTTAATTGACTAATGCTGCAATCTAATACGATATTACACACTGAACATCTCGCTTTATACTGATCTCCTGGCACACGTTCCAACCAGTCTTTGAACGTGTCAATTTTCAACCATTCTTCAGAAAACATTTCAGTTTCAGTTTCTACAGACCCCATTTCTTCCACAATTTTGGGAATACTACGTACTTTGAAAACTTTGCTCATTGTTTTAATACAACCAACCCACAAAACTAGAATCCCCACAAAAGACTCCAAAATTTCTCTTTACTACAAAATATTTAAAATGGAGGTCACTTCATCTCGCTGCGTTCCATTAATCATACTTGCTTCGCATTCGACTGTATGACCCTTGCAGATTAACCATAGATAACACACTTCAACCAACCTCACCGATCCTTACGCTGGGTACGTTATTCCACACAGCACAGATAAACTGAAAAGACAATTATGATGTATATCCAATACAGAAATCTAAAATATGTTGTATTAAACAATAGCGTAAAGAGTGAAGTAACTATTTACGGACCACCCAAAACAAATCATTTGTTCACACGAAATTATTATAGTCCCAAAGTATATATATAATTCCAAATGTTCTATTATCTCCTTCTCATGAGGAGGAAATATTCACTCTAATTGTAGATCAGAAGAACTGTTACAGTACCGTTGACAAAAAGCGTGTGTAGCCTGAAACTGTTTAAAAGTCTTCAGTGACGATATCTTTTTTGCAGCTATCTCATTTGTGGTTTTATATTCTAGCATGATAACCACGTACTCCACGTACCACCAGCTAGAGACAATCTACAATCGCGTACGTAAAGTGTTTGAACGAATGGCGATAACAGTCTTGTTGGGTGACTGAATCCGAGATCGAGGGCCAAAGAATGAATTCGAATTACGAATTCGGTTACACAGGGAAGATAATTGCATTTGCTCTGTCTGACCGTCTGTGAGATAAATACCATCGTCGCCTGCAAAAGAAGTCTCTTGTCCTAATGGACTACAAGAAAGAAAAATATATAAGCTGTATCCCTCTTTTTCACCGTGGTAACCATATAGAATTCGACCTTCCGAGCTCTAACTTCGAATATTCTGTTAGCAATGTACCAATGTTTTGGTGGAGCATCGCTTGTCAACATCTGCAAAAGAAATAAAAAGAAAACGTCTCTTCTTTTGTTCGCTTCATGTCTCGATTAGACTGTTCGTAGCCACGGATCACTAATTCATTACGTTCAGAGCGTAGCAGTCTTCGCCAGTCGTAACAGCGACCTTAGAGCGCCTAAGAGTATCGTCGTTGTGGTCGTTGTGTTCCGGTATTGCCGTTAGATGGCAATAGGAAGAGATCCCTGTCCTCCGTTTAGAGGTTTAGCGGATAAAATGGTTTATATGATTGGGCTATAGAGGAGGAGGTCTGAGAGCAGTGATTAAGCCTTTCTTTTTGTGTGTGTGTATTAAAATGTTAATCAGGATCCCTTCCTAGACTCAGAGGACACAATTAAAGAACTCAACTTCGCTATTAAAAATTTCACAGTCCAATCGAACCCAGGACTAATTTATACTTCGCATTTTTCCAAATGAAGCTTTATAACTATATTTTAGGAGCAAGAGTGTTACTACGCGACTGGGAAAATGTAGTGTTCTTTATCCCTAAAAGTGACAAAACGAACGTAAGACCTATATCGTTGGCATCATGTGTGTGCAAGATATTAGAATGAATTATAAACTTGCATATAACCTGGTAGCTAGAAAAGAACCATAAATTCTTAAGAACACAATATGGATTTCAGAGAAACTCAGAATGTACAGATAATCAAGCAATACTAACAACTGAAATAATAAAACCGCTTGGAGAACAGAACACATCGGATCTATACCTGAACATTAAAAGTGCATACAATAATGTTCACTGCAGCAATTTGATGGATAGACTCTAGCAGTAGGCTTCTCAGGAAATCTGTTAGCTTTCATTTTTAAGCTGGTCTCAAGGGAACTAGAGAGAAGCTATGGATGGCTAGATCTGAAAGATTGGACATACATAGCGTTCTGAGTCCAGCCTTACTTGTTTGCATCTTGTGTGGTATTCTGGCTGTCAACACAAAAAATACATCAATCTAATTGTTTACATTGGTTTCATTTAATAACCATTACAAGTTTTGGTCCATATTTGGGCCATCTTCAGGCAGTTTCATTAAATACATCTCACATTACTGACATATCCTAATAAAAGGTAAGCTGTAGGGGGCTGTAGTTTCCCAGAGATTTCCATTTGCTCCTACTTGCAGTCTGCTGGAAACTGTATTATATTGTTTGTCCACAGCTGGAATATAGCCTTGTTCATGTAAATGACAAATCGTAAACAGGACAAACAAGAAAAACTGCCTGGTGAGGACTCTAACTAAACACAAATATTTATTCTTCACTATATTGTTATATGAATTCTCAACAAGAATAATGTTACTGATGTGATTTGTCCCTCTATATATGTTGTTTAATCATTTTTTGTGAACTTATATATAAATATGTTTCTTTCAAAATTATTTTTATTCAACACTTTCAATATAAACATGCCAGATCTGTTCCAAGTACCTTCATCTAATTCATGGGCTGACTTTTTCCCATTTTCAGTGACACACTCATTTAACTGGTTAGTGTATTTCTTTACAAGTTAGCACATGTACTTCCACACATATATATATATATAATGTTTACTGTAATTATAATTGTCAGTCCTTGAAACCAATTTTAGGTTTTATTCTTAAATGCTATGATGTCCCTTTGGTATTATCTTCAGGTGCTCTAAATCTAATTTTGAGTTTTTCATTTTGTATGCTGAGTGCTGTTACCTTTTTTGCCAATGTCAGATTTTCTTAATGCAATTTTAGGCTTTGATTTTGGATGCTCAATACTCTCATCCTTATCCTGTTCCCAGAATCCACTTCTAGTGTTTGACTTTGTATGCTGACTGCTCTCATCTTTGTTACCAGTATCATGTTCTCTGAATCCAGTGTTAGGCTTTGACCTTGGATGCTGCAAACTTGTATCCTCAGTCTCATTGTCAGGCTGTTTCAAGCTTACAGTGTATATATTCACTGGAAGCTTCAGTTTTTTGTCTTCATCTTTCATAGATGGATCTTCAGGTCCTTGCAATGAATAATCATCATCTTCATGAACATTTTCAGAAATACTGAAAATGCCTCCAAGTGTTTCCAAGGCTTCTCCATAGTTTTTAGTTGCTGTATGTGTTCCATATATCTCTCCAGCTTCATGAGAATCATGGAATCTTCCTGCCAGTGTTTCTTCTTCCTCTGCTCCTCTGTTGGATTCCTTTAAAGTTGGCCTTGCAGCTTCAACTAGCGGAATCTCTTGCTGCTGTTCCTCTTCTGGTGAATCCTGCTGAGTCATTTCCACTCCCTTGTCTCTTGTGCTCGGCTGTTCATCCTTTTTGCTGTCCCTTATATTCTCTGCATCTGTTATCAGTTTTATAATAGAGAAGCTGTAAAGCCAGAAGGAACTGTCTCCCTTGAATGCAAAATGCTTCTGGTGTGACAAAAAGAAATGTGAAATTTAAAATCTTGTGGAACCACATCCTATAAATTAAGCAGTATGTTAACAAAACCACACAGAAGGCTGAAATGAATCTTAAAAATGGGTAAGATGTGTGAAATTCACATAAAATATGAAATCCTGGCAAGGTTAAAATGGTAGGATATGAGGTTCCCACCGTGGTTTTGTATACCATTATGGTCTAAGATTGCTTTGCCAGCCACTGACTTCATCCCCATACTACCACTGGCAACAAATGGAATCTCAGCCAGTGCAGTTTCCTACACAACATTGATTCCTTAATCATGGCTTGGGGGGGGGGGGCAAATGTAATTTTATGCAATGAAAACAAAACAAATAATACCTACGCTATCCAGTTAATACACAAGAAAAGGGAGGAATAATGAAAGTAAGTAACTTTCTCTGTCCAATATTCAAAACTGTGGTACCTGTTGGAAAGAATGAATCCAGTTCTATGAGTGAAGTGACTGGCAGCAGACTGGATGACTAGGGTTCACTTCCCAGCTTCAACAGATTCTTCACCATATTACCACATACATACAGGCTCTAGGCCCACCCAGCCTCTTATCTGTGACTGCAAAACAAGGTTCTCCATACCACCGGAAATTTTCCAATATGCACATAGGTCTGCAATTTGCACATGGCTTTCAACCTTCCATATGTACACAATTATATAATAAAACTGTGCAGTCAACAAGCAGAAGTCATACAAAATCATGAGAACACCCATGTTCGAAGCATAGGAGAAGGCAAGACCAGACAGAAAATATAACATTGTTACACTTGGCACTAGTCAAGCTTACAGCCATTCAAGTGGCTAAGCTCCCATTGTAGCAGAAGCTGAATAAGATAGGCATGGTCTACGTACATTGCAAAGCCTGGACTGACAGAAGAATTGTATATATTGTAAAAGGGAACATCTTCAATGTTATGCTATATGTGCAATATGTACACTTGACAAATGCCAAGCTTGTTCGTAAGAGACAAACCCATCCTCTCATAAAGGGGGTGTTACAGGACAGACCATAAGGGTTCAGTTGCTAAGAAAGAAAATGGGGGGGGGAACTCTGGTCCTAAGCCTCAAAAGATGAACTGACTGGCAGTAAACCAGCAGTCATAAGATAACTCTGAACTCTTGAGTTGTGAGTCAGCCAGTGACTCAGACAGCAAGTGTTAAGTGAGTTACTGAGTGCCTGCACAAGTCACTCCCCAGTAGAAGAGGGAGTGAACAATAGTAGTCAGACCCCTCCTCTCATTGAATAGGAGGCTCCATTTCAAAACATGTACATGTCCTGAAAAGAAGAATATGGCTATGGGTCCCAAAACCAAGAACTACTGTGCTTGTGAGGGCCAACAGCAATTTAACCAACCAACTCAGCCTCCTATCCTACCAGGGATAAACCAGCTGGAGTGTATCTCTATCTCTATCCAGTACTGAGGCTGAGAATGTGTGGATCTTTGCCTCCATATACCTGTACAACCTCACAGGGTGGTGTTTAGACACATGGACAACTCACCTGTAGAGACTGCCTGTATCACACAAGGAAGGTTCTTAGTGTTTCCACATACTGAAGCATGTGCCTTCTGCAAGTACTTGGCCTGCCTCTGCTTCCTTTCTGGCGCCACATAGTTATGCATCAAGTCAGCTACAAGCTCCTCCTGCTCCAAGTCATTTTGTCTGCAAGAAAGTTATTGAAGTAGGGTATTCAAATGCCATATTAACCTTCTAATTGCAATGTCATGTAAAATGACCACATCATGGTACTTCAGTAGTGAACACTGTAGTATGGTTACTGAGAACAGCTCCACTCCACTGACCATCCAGCCTGTAGCTCTTTGCTGTACTGACTAGGCTATGCTGCCTCTCCAGTGCAGTAACAAAGTATGACATACCTCAGGTGGAACTCTTCCACTGCCTTGTCTATTCCTTTTGCAAGGTATCTAACATTCTGTTGTAACTCTGCCTTGGCAACCCACTGTGTGGACTCAGGGATCAGATCTTCCACATATGTGCACACTGTGTCCTGGTGCGCCTTTACTGCCTACCAAATACAAAATTATATATGCTATATAATTTCAAATTTTGAGCAAGAAGTGTTACAATAAAACTACATTATAATATGAACACATTACATCTTAACTCTTAACCATTAACACACTGGTGACTGACATACTGCTCGGTTACACTCCCCCTGTGAACCAGGTGATTTAAACCTGCTCTTATAAACACTCATTCACAACAGAATAGAAATGGAAAGTGGGAGAGAAACATAGGGCCTCCACCATATTGCCAAGGACTAACAAGTTATCATTCTTACACATACATGGCCTCAGCTAACTGAAAGTTGACGTGTGTGGACATGGCAATTCTAGGGCCCCAACACCCACCAATAGCGACCAGAAGTACAAGGATTCTCATGAACCATCACCAGTGTGTTAAGATACTGACCTTCTCAAGTACAAGGTGTGGCAATAGAGAACCCGGATTACTTTTATGACTCATTTCCGGCCACGTCATTTACGAAGAGGAGGGTAGGGCATTGACCCTTGGACTTCCCTCTACCGTCACACAAAGTTTCATTCACGTGCATCGGTTAGTCTGGCCGCGACCATTGTTAGAAGCGGATCGTGTTTCTGAGCTCCGTCGGAATAATGCTGAGTGCTAATGCAGAACAACGTGCTAACATCAAATTCCTCACAAAACTTGGAAAATCTGCCACTGAAACTTACAATTTGTTGACAGAAGTATATGGTGATCAGTGTCTATCTCGCACGCAAGTTTTCGAGTGGTTTAAGAAGTTTATGGAGGGTAGGAAAAACGTCGGGAACGATCCAAAATCGGGCCGTCCTCCCACTGCGAAAACTCCAGAGAATGTGGAGAAGGTCGCTAGAATTGTTCGAAGAGATCGTCGACTGAGCATTCGAGCAATTTCTGAACTTACGAACATCAATAAGGAAAGTGTTAGACAGATTTTGCACGACGATCTGGGCATGAAAAAGGTGTGTGCTAAAGTGGTGCCAAAAATCCTTACCCCCCAGCAAAAGGAACATCGAGTGAATTGCTGTGTTGACACTCTTGAAAACATTGAAAATGATCCTGATTTCTTCCAAAACGTAATTACGTGTGACGAAACTTGGATTCTTCAATATGATCCAGAGACTAAGCGACAATCCATGCATTGGAAGAGCCCCAAATCCCCTAGGAAGAAGAAAGCGCGCATGAGCAAGTCCAAATTCAAAGCAATGATGATTGTTTTTTTCGATATCCGGGGGGTAATCTACATTGATTGGGTGCCTGAAGGTCAGACTGTCAATCAGGTTTATTATAAAAATGTTTTGACGTACCTCCGTGAACGTGTGCGACGAAGGAGACCAGACATGTGGAAGAATGCCTCATGGGTTCTTCATCACGACAACGCGCCAGCACACAACGCGCTATCTGTGAAGAGGTATTTGGCAAAAAACAACATTCCAGTGATGGAACATCCACCGTATTCTCCGGACCTAGCACCGTGCGACTTTTTTCTCTTCCCAAAAATCAAGTCTGCGCTGAAAGGGACCAGGTTCGAGTCCGTGGATGCAGTGAAAGCAAAAGCGACGCAACTCTTGAAGAGCATAACACAAGATGACCTGCAGCACTGCTTCCAACAGTGGAAAATTCGCATGGAGCGGTGTAGGGATCGGGGAGGGGACTACATTGAAGGGGATAACATTTCGACTGTCTGATTTTTTTTAATAAAGGGTTAGAGCATGAATCCGGTTTCTTTATTGCCACACCTTGTACATTTAGTTTAACATACGAGACCCCATAAGGATGCAGTTAATTTTGTTTAATTTTTAGAATTTTGAATTCAGCTGAACATTGGATTGAGATCTTACTTTTGTAATGTCATACTGAAATCGATTAAAGGTCCGTTGGCACCAATGGACAAGAGACACATCACCAATTTCAGTTTATTTTGACAGCTTCCCCAACACCAATAATTCATGATTTATGGATTAAATTAACAGCATAAACAAGTTTTAAATTATCATCTCACAGACTCAGAACATGAAGATTTTAACTCTCTAGTATCGATGACAGTTTTTCTTACTTGCATGAATATTTCATGATGTTCATGATGTTTCCATTCCTCTTGTCTGTGTCCTGCTTCTGGTGTCTCCTGCTGGGACCTCTCTCGTTCTGCTAGCAAGGCCAAAGTGCGAGCACACCATTCATCCTGCAAGCACCATAATTCCTTGGAGAGGAAATGCAGCATAAAGCTTACTCTGTTGCCCTGCAGGAAGTCTAGGGGTTCTCTTTGAACAACTGGTAGTTATTCAATTGCTTAAGAAAATGTCTTAAATAAGTTCTAGGGCTGACATTGTAATCACACAAGTCTGCTTCTGGTCCTTCCTTGAGCCACTTTGATTCAGCTTGCATCTACATAAAATATTCCTTTAAGATCTGTTTTCTTGAAGCTACCCACTCATCTCCATTTAGTACAGTAACAAGACTGAGAGCAGTTTTACTTCTATTTCATCAATTTTACTTCATGTTGTGGTGCTCACACACAGAGCCAACTTTATCTTTACTACCGAAATGTGCTTCTGTCTAACTTAGCGTACTTTTAAAATTTTTAATGTCATCCCCCCCCCCCCAGTTGTATGCTACATGTCTGTTTCATAAAATATTTTTTGGCTCTCAGGTGTATCAGTTGGTAAAAAATTACCAGCATTTCTGGGACCATCATCAGAATCTGATGTGACATCAAACCCTGATGGTCGGAACAGAGATGGTCCCTGAAACGTCAGTAATTTGTCGTCAGCTGTCATTGCTGATAGCTAGAGAAGATTTTGTCAACTTTAGCCACCATGGAAGCTTCAGATCTTACATGTTTGGTTGAATTATATAATTTATATAATGGTTCAAACAATGCTTGGTGAAAAATACAAATTATGAACTTTCTCATTATGTAATTTTCTTAGTTTTCTCTCCTTCTTCATCTGTGTTTGGTGTACATAATCTCAGCACTTCAATATGTATGTACCTCTCTCTCATTCTGTAACTGTTCCCGCTGAGGAGACTGTACATGCTCCCGTTGTTGCACGGTGAGCAGCAGGTCTTCTTGCTGTAATGCTGTGGTACTCTTCATCTCCTCGATCAACTCCTGCCGTTTATGCTGTCCATTGCATCCATCGCAAATTAAATTAATCATAATTTCATGAACATTTATAAACAATATGGTAATGTTATGATCATCTGAGAAATTAATTCACTATGCTGATGACATTTAACTGTTAGTCTCCTGCCTAGATATCTTTTGATAATTTAATATTATTGCCCATCAGCTCTATTCAGTAAAGTGGGTAATCATTTCAGTTCAGAAGTCAGAATAAAGATGACCTTGGTTAGATGCAGCTTGTTTCACATAACACTGAAAATACCAGTATCATTTAATCTGTAATCAAACTACATATTCTTTGACTCATGATCCATTTCAACCAGAAATACATTAAAATTTTTCCTTCACAACTCCTGACCCATCCTACAACATACCATGTTATAAATTTTGATTGGCTAACTTACTAACACATTATTACAATCCCACAAAACTTACAAACAGTGCACAAAAGAATTACCCAGCATGCAGGGAATAATGTCATCACAATATGTACTAGTGTCTGGATCGCACGTCCCGTGATTACCTTTTGCAGAAAGACAGCTCCTTGGTACTTCTCTGCTTCTGAATCTGGCATACCTTCTGTGTCTGTAGTTTCTGGTACAGGGATTGGTTTTCGGAGTCTTGATATCAACCCCGTGTGCTCACACTTTCCAGATGTTTTCCTACAAACATCTGTAACACAAAAACGACAGTGATAATTGTGTGTTCTAGCATGAAGCTTCATGATGTTTAAATGTTGATGAAAATTCTGTTCACCAATGTATGAATTAATGTTGTCCCATTCAATCAAGGCTTTCTGGCAAGAACTTATAATGCAAAATGAATTTTAAATTCTTCCGTCTATAGAGAGAATCTAACTCGAATTACAAACTGATGAGTTCAGTAATTTTTTTTGTAAAATTTTCAGTCCTGAAAATTCCTGCTGCCACAAAGTTATCAGATTTAACATCACTGTTTCGCACCATCTCAGTGTTTGTAATGTAAAAAGCATGTTTCATAAAAACATTTTTGGATGTCTATATTCAGTCTTTGTATCCCATTTCACATGTTTATCTGAAATGATTAATTAGGTAGTGTGATGAAAGGGAAAAGCAAATAGATATTCATGCGGTTACCATACTCTTTACCTTTTACACATGAAAAGAGAGCAAAAAAAATTAGCTTTTTTTCTTCAAACAGCTAAATTCAAAAAGTGAAATGCTTGTATGTATATTATCCATCAATGTCATTTAATGGGGAGACATCCTAAAGCAGCCAAAGTACTGCTAGTACCATTCCTGCCTCAGAACTTCCCACAGCTGCTGTTATTGATGGCACAGAAATAAAATATGTGATGGCAGCCCAGAATCCACTGGCATATAATGTTCATTTCAAATTTAATTAAAATCCATCAAGAGCTATTACAGGGTGGAGAAAACCCACATGCTCAGTCATTGTGATACTATATTCCTGTCATTCACTATAAAATAAGGAAATTGTACTAAAAAGTGATTTTTATAAGGCTTATTACTTTTCAAGTCCTGGTGCAGTTTCTCAAGCACGGCTTCTGTCCAGCGTGTCTCACGAACACACAGTTCATTCTTCTTCTTGACTGCAGGTTTAGTCAAATGGAGTGATGGTTGCAGCAATTTTGGAACTGTCTCGAGGATCTCTAGACCTGACCCAACAAACATTTTTTCATAAACAATGAACACTGAGCAACACCTAGTGGAAATTGAATAGTGACAATCACAAGCACACTTAGCAATATTTCTAAGGATCCCTGCTTAAGTAAATATTTATATTCATATTTCATATTTAACATGTCTTCCAAAGATCTATGTACATAGATATAGAATCTGTCATTGTTTATACTAGATAACAAAACAATAAGAAGATATTTAATCATACAGTATAAATCTGACTGGATATCATGAAGTATAAAACATACATATGCATCTATGACAGGTCACATATAATGTATCACTCACTATGCAAGGTAACACTATAATAAAATAATTGATCATACAATGTAAATCCAACTTTAAATCCATTTCACAATAACAATCATTTATGTACAAAAGATAAAATACTTTTTCACCTTCCTTTCCCATCCAAATTTTGTATTGCTTTACATGTTGTCCTTTCTATAATGGTGAGATATGTTAAATTATGTAGTTCTTAACTTTGTCTAAGAGACTGCTGAAATATATCACTTTACTTTAGATGGATGAATGACTTTCAAGCTTGAAGAAAATATTAATATTGTGTCAAAAAATTAAAAATCTTGCTGTGTTTATGATATGCAGAAAATACCATACGGCTGGCCACAACATTTATCTAAGTGTGTATCTCTTTTGCAGATCAACTGCTGCAGTTCCGTATCATTAAATGGCAATTTTGAAATGCTGGGAATGAAGCGGCTTGTTTTGAGGCATGAATCTGGCATCCCCCTGACAGGACTGAAGCAAACAGAAAACAGCAATGAGTTTAGGTAGCCAGTGTTACAGCTTATGCACCCTCTGAGATACAAATGAGGTCCATTACTATTGTATTGTCATGTTTGATATGTGGCATAATGTAGGATTGAATTAATTGTGATCTTTTTAAATTTAGTGTTAAGGAAAAATATTTATTTATAATTCTGAATTTTTTCTTCTTCTAGCATTGTTTCTGTTGTATATGAATTGATGATAATTTAAAATTTTTAATGTGTGATTTATAGTTTTACCTTTGATGTGTGTCAGAAATCTGCTTTGCACATTGATCACCTCATGACGACGCTTAGGATGTTCTCCAAAACGCATCTGGGGACCATACAGTTCAGACTTATGGTCTCTGTACTCATCCACAACGCTTCCCTCTTGATACTTCATGGTGACACCTTCGTGTGTGAGTGCCAGTTTGCGCAGTGCTGCAACGTATAACCTTCATATACTCTTCAATTTCACACATTTTACTTTAAACTACACAATATACACTGTTTTCAGGTATCTCTATTACAAAGAAAGAAGCCTGAACAGCATCTAATTATGCATAAAGAGAGCATATCGGAAATAATATGCAGTGACATATGAAGAAGTTCCTCTTTACCTGTGTCCATGCAGGTTAGTATAAAGTAATACATCTTACTTAAATCCAGGAAGTATCTAGTTTGATTCCCAGGCTAAGGTTTCTTATGATTTTTTTTTCTTTCAGGTCAATGGAGGGAGAATATCTTCAAACAGGACAACATCACTTTCTCCTCATCTCTCTCTAGCCGCCATATATCCCCTTATCTCGTTCATTACCAAATAACCCCTACAATTCAAAAAACACTGTTAAATAATGTGGTGTAAGTTGTTTCTAATTGTGCCACTTATCAAGTGTTCCCCTTGGCACTGATCTTCAAAAAGTCTTGAAGAAAGAATGAAATCACAAAGCTATTGAAACAATCACAAACATGTAGTTACTACAGGAGTTTGACGATGGTGTATAACACATAGAGATATCGGGTTTTCGGACTTCACCCATCATACTGGTTTTAAGATAACTAAGAAAAACACAACGTTTCGGAAACTAATCTGTTTCTGTCCTCAGGTGATGGAAAAACACCTATTCTGTTGGGTCCCTTAGAAAGATCTAGCCTCAATCACTGGCTCTCTCTAAGGGACCCAAGGGATCCAGTTTCCGAAATGTCATGTTTTTCTTAGTTATCTTAAAACCAGGACGATGGATGAAGCCCCAAAACCCAATATCTCTATGAATCACAAACATCACTGTGAAATCTATGAAGGAGGATGGCCTTCTCTTCCATTATTATTTAATGAAACAATGCTGAAAATACAGAAGAGTGATGTGACTTGAACTTTATGTACCTCTCTTATGATCAAGCCTTATCTTCTGTATTTTCTCGTTTTTCTCCTGCTGCTTTGATGTCCAGTAACGTTGCAAGCGAATATTCAGTTTATGAGTTTCCTCATGCTGGGACTTCTTAAGAAGCTGACAAGCCAGGTCTAAACGCACATTATGGATTTTCTGTATTTCCTGCAAAAAGAAGAAGAAAAAAAAAGACAAAACGAAAATATTAATGTTATGAATTTTGGATTCAGAATGATGAAAGCTCAGGTTTCTCATACCCATGAGTATCAAGATTATGGCCATCTAAGATGTGATGCTGTATAGTTCGGTTAATGGATAACTAACAAACTTCAGAGCATCAGATACCAGAAATTATAATCTGAAGTACATATTACCTTCTCACGAAAGAGACATTCATCACTCTCAATAGCATCTATAATGTTCCTCATTTTCTCAATGGATTTCGGATCACCTGACGTAGGCATAAAATCCTCCCAAGCTCTCCTTATGCGAGCATGTTCTATTACCTCCACTTCATGCATCCCTGCTGGCAAACCATGACCTACACCAAATATGAATATCTATTAGCAATTATTTAGGAAATTATCCTATGGCTAATACTCAAAGAAGATGAGGAGGTGAGGGCTGTGGATGGGGGTGGGGGGTAGAAGTGAGAAATATTAACAACCAATACCATAAAGCATATGTGTGGATGATACAGAATCCATCCACACTGAGTTGGTATCACTTATGCTTCATATTTGGGAGGTCTCAGATTTAAGATGTCAGTCCAGAGAACAGCCATCCTGATCAAGGATTTTCCCCTCAGACAAATTCAAGGACACAACTTTAAAATTAGGCCATGACTGCTTCCTTCAGATCCATTCTTATTATCAGCTAATCATTCCATCAATGAATGATACATTATTCAATATGCTGAGAATACCAGTAAATAAATCAATTAAATATGTATTCCAGTTTCTGTCCTCAGTAAGGATGATGCAACTGATCACTAAATCAGAAGGAATGTGTATTTCATAATTACTCCCCTTCTTCACACAGAATCTTCCACAGAACAGAGGATAGTAAGGTAACAGTGTTTAAGTTATTTCTGTAACTTTTAAAACTGAAATCCTCCCCTAGGTTCCTTAAATGCCTGAAAAATTCTTCTGGACCTCTCTTCATTTATAATCTACGCACAGGGAGTGTGAGTATGTTGAAGCTGTGTTACTTCAGGACTTGTGATTGGCAGAGAACATTTAATTCTTGGGCCAACACTTCTCTATCAGACTCTTAAAGGATGTTCAAAAGTATTAAGATCAAGAAAGTTATGAATAAGATTTCAATTTTCATAGAGTTGTTACCAGTGTCTCCTAAGACAAGGCCATCTTCCAACCAATCTCCTTTGAGTACTAATTTCTGAAAGGACTCTCTTTTCTGTTCTTCTTGTAATACAGGTTATTTTCTGAATCAGTACTGCCTCAGTGACTACTACTGAAGAATATGCCTGAAAGGATGTCTTTAGATGGTGACTGTTTATCCATTACAAATATAATGATGATAATGCCATGAAAAAGAAGAATAAGGCTTAAAATTATACACACCCCATGATAAGTTGGCAAGAGTCAACATCTCAGGAGTAGGGGTACAGTGGGAGAACACAGGAGGTGCCCAGGGTGTTGTCTGAGTTTCAGACTCTCTGTAGTCTGTTTGCGTGCTGCGGTTCTGTATTCTCGGCATATACTCTCCGTCTTCAGTTCCCATAATGTTGACTGTCATGGCTGTTGCTGCTGGTTGCAGGAATGGAACCACTGGCCTTCATGCAAACACATGGCTCAGGATTATTATGGACTTGTAATATGCTACCAAACACATACTGTATTCAGGACATGTTTAAATAACAAGGTGGAGAGTTGCATTTCAACAAGTTGGAGTTCCCACATATATTCTTTGTTATTTTGCTTTACTCATTGGTCCTGAGAACTTAACATTAAGAGGAGAATACTGGATACAATTTTGTATGAAGTTGATAGCAGTGGTCTCCCACAATAATTACGACAGTCAGTTTTATTACACTTCTTGTGAACTGGTACAATAACAGACTCCTTCCACTGATCAGGCAATTTTTCATTAATCCAAATAGAATTAATTAACTTATGGATCTTAGAATGTAATATTTCACCTCCTATTTGAATCAGTTCTATCAAAATCACTACCTGGTGATTTACTCGTATACCTTTTCAACTTTGCAATTGCAATTTCAACCTCAGAAGGTCTAGGATTAGGTACTAGTGGCTCAGCTGTATGTATTTCTATCTGCCTAACATCACTGACCCTATGTACATTCAATAACAGAGAAGTAGTTCTTTTGCCTATTCAAAATGTTCCAGAAATCCGCAAGCAGATCACCATTCTCATCCTTCACTAAGTTACTTCTAGGTTGGTAACCCCTCTCAAAGTCATTTATTCCTATATACATGTCTCTAATGTTCTTGTTCTTACTGTTTCTTACAAGCTCATCAATTTTGTCTTTCAGATATTCTCTCTTTTTATTCCTGAAATGCCTGCTGGTTTCACGTCTTACAGTGTTCAGATTATCCCCATTTGTTTAACTTGGATCCTGTAACTATTGCAATTTGGCTTGTTCCCTTTGGTCTAATAATTTTGAGCATCCTTCATTGAACCATGGTTTATGCTTCTTCAATTCATAATAACCTAGATTCTCTTTGGCTGAATATTTGATAGTTTCCCAAGCTCTATTAATATCCACCTCAGTGGAGAACTTATTTGAGATTTCAACATGATACTGCTCTTTACCCTATACCTCATTTAATTTCTTGAGACTGAACCTCTCCGTATGAACTCTATGCCTTGTTTGTCTGCTCACTACTGCTCTCTCCCTAATTTCTGCGACCACCAGGTAGTGGTCAGTATCACAATCTGATGCCCTGAATGATGGGACATCAATTATACTTCAGTGCTCTCTTGAATCTATCAAAATATTGTGAATTTGGTTGTGTCTTTCCACCAGGAGATGTCCAAGTAAATTCATGAATGTTTGGATGCGGCAAAGTTTACTACACCATGGCATGGTACATACCAGGCTGCGGATGGAGGAGAAGGCTTCTAGATATGGAGGGTAGCTGAGAATATATTGACTAAGCAGTAGTGGACACCCAACAAGGGGTGGTTCTCCAGCTAGGGGGTTGGTCGTGGGGCTTACAAATCCTTGCCATAAAAAAATAAGTTTGTTATGAAAGATCAGAAGAAGCCTTGGAATTTGTTACAGTTACATAAAAATAATATATTTCTTTCCTTGATGAAACATTCTGTATTAACTAACTCCACAGAAGACAGCAGAAACCAGTATTTAAAGATCATCTCTTACTTCACTCCATCTATTTTGTAGAAGAATTTATTTAAATTGAAAATTCTTAAGTATAGTAAATTTTTAAAAGGATATTTTTATAGTAGTATAATTGCTTAATATCCTTATAAATTAAGATGGATGTAAATAAGTGTAACAAGTAACTATATACTGTATTTATATTTATATTTGTATTTTGTGCCATATCCTACATCCTTGATGCAGTCCTGTGAAGAATCCATGGATTGCAAATAAATTCAACCACGCTACTCACCGTTGAGAGAAGCGATACCTATCCATTCCATCAACATCCAATGGCTTCTTTATGTTCTTTTTTGCAGCTCTGTAAAACAAAGCAGATCAAACATGGGCCATGTGATAACAGATAAAGTATAAAATAACGAACACACACCATTAAATTGTTTTTGTGGCAATGAGCATAGAGTATGCTGTATGCACTGTTGCTGAGTTCTACCTCATCTTTTTTTGACAAAATTCTATCTGCTGTACTTTCTTGTAATAGTTATATGATAGCAGGAAATAATATTTTATTTTCAGGAAACTTATCAAAAGAGATATAAACAGAGTTTCATCTGTATTCATATTATTTTATGGTGATCACAAAATTTCAGCTGTAGGCCGAAACATGTAGTGTGGAAGAGAACAAGACCAAAGACATATAATATATATTGTTTGCACTTGGGATGGAGTTTGTATCATTTCTCGTGTAGAGTGCAACAGGATTCTTAAGTATAATATTGTAGGAAATGTGGCCTAGTACCACCCAAGAGGGGACATTTGTCAGTTTTTGATGTCTCCATATGAGAGGTTAAGAGTAGAAAGTTTATGGTGATGCCCTTACATTACTAAACCACAAAGAAAAGCTTTGTACATTCAAACATGAGATGCAATGGACAGCCAAAAGTCTGAAAGGACAAATGCTACATCATCAGGCACATAACTCTGCTTCCATTAGCTCTACTTTTGATAGCAATATTGGCACTCACTGGTTGCTTTTCTGCATTACTTTTAGCTTCCCATAAAGAACTGTGAAAGGCTAACCTCTGATGATAATCCCAGCTTCTGTCAAACCATGGTGGCAAGTGGTCCAGTCGTTTCAGGACCATCATGTACCTGGGATATGCATCACTGAACATTGTGGTGTACAATGGACACAGTTCCTGTATCACACAATTATTAAACTTGTAATATTAGATAAAATTAAGTTAAATTAGACATCTTTCAAGATTAAAAATGAAAGGTTTTAAAGAAAAATAATGAGCTTGGAAACAAATACAAAAATATAATATTACACACTTGTAAAGAGTAAGGTAACCATGGGCCCGAAGTTTGATGGGGAGCATGGAGGGAAAGTCCCACATGTTCTATACCTTGACAATGGATGCAGATATTACAGATCTGTAGGAGACAAGAATGAATTTTTGGAGGGTTAACTATCTTTGTAAAGAAAAATTAATCGATAGATGCATGGTTACACTCTGAGATTTCTTAAATTTTTAACTCTGAATTTGTGAATGGGAAGACGGGTTTCAGCCTGACAGAAAAGGGGGACTGATCTGGTATACAGATAGTTCCAAGACACACAGAGGCACTGGAGCTGGTGTGTACTGCCATGGTACGAGGCGGAAACTTAGTTTCAGCTTTGGGCGGTACACGACAGTATTCCAGGCAGAAGTATATGCCATTAAAGCATGTATTATGGAGAATTTAGATAGGAACTATAGAAATAGGAACATCTACATTCTATCTGACAGCCAAGCAGCACTCAAAGCACTTGACAAACACCAGATCAATTCAAAATTGGTCTGGGATAGCCACCAAACCCTCGTGGAACTGGCCAAACATAACAGGGTACAACTGATATGGGTGCCGGGGCATGAGGGTATTGCTGGAGATGAAGCAGCAGACCAATTAGCTAAAATTGGAGCTGAACATCCATTCATAGGACCTGAACCAGCCTGTGGCATCTCTCTTGAAGTTGCCAAACACGCAATCAGGGACTGGACTAACATAAAACATAAGAAATACTAGGAATCCTTAACTGGACTCAGGCAAGCTAAGGGACTCATACGAGGAACTTCTGATAAAAGAGCGAAGGAACTGTTGAAGCTCAACAGGAACCAGCTACGATGGGTGGTAGGACTACTTACAGGACACTGTCACCTCAAAGGACACCTGTTCAAACTGGGACTAAGTGATAGTCCCACTTGTGAGAGGTGTCAGATAGAAAATGAAACAGCCACACACATCCTGTGTGAATGTGAGGCTTTAGCTTCTTTAAGACTTTGTCACTTGGGTCAGTACTTCATGGAACCAAGTGACTATTTCGACACCCCCACGTCCAAAATCCGGTGCTTCATCCAAAGCGTGGGGTTGCTGAGGGAATAATTAAAAAGGGGAAGCACAATGGACCACTGAGGTCTAAGTGCAAGGGCCGAGCAGGCCTACCCTTACATACATACATACATACAACTCTGAATTTGGAATAAGCAAGAACTGTCACAGCAGTGGAAAGCAGAAACTGTTACATGAAGCTCTAGCCACAGCTCTGTCACACGAGATCTCTTTGGCAAAATTAACATAAGGATGGCACTGACTTACAAATTCTGCCTGCGTATTCAAAGACTCTGCAATGCATCTGTGAAAGTCATGGGATCCCGAAAATACATAATCTGGATCTGTGAAGCAAAGCAAAATTTATGTTACAAGTTGTTCTTATAAGAACCTGAAGAAAATTTAAATATGGCGAGGAAGTATATGAATGAATGACATGCTAAACAAACATCACTAATTCATACATTTTGTAAAAATATAATAAGTCCTTATTTGAATGAATATAGTAATTATATAACTCAGCAGCCAAGGGCTCATGGCCTACAATCCTATCATCCTTGACAACAGAAAATCAGATATCTGTACAGAACAATTTACAACCTCTGTGCTACTGAAATAATGAGCCCCAGAAAATGAAAGGAGAGGTATACAGATGGCATCCAACTCTGATGGTTGATCATATATGCTTACTTTCCTTACCCTGTCAGCAACACATTGAACACTGCTGGTTTTGAGTTTCTCACAGCAATGACTATGAAGTGTACTAGCTTCAAGAATATGATACTATGTGTCTGGTAGAAGTTTACTGATGTTTCAGAAAAACATACTGCCTCCATCTTCAGAGTCAAAGAGTAAGCCAGGCAACGAACCAACAAGAAACAAGTAGCGATCCTCTTGCTTCTTGCTAGCATACTCCTCGACCTTGATGACAGAGGCAAAGCACTGCTCCAAAATGTCTGTAAACTTCTAGCAGACTGCATGGCATCACATACCAGAAGATAGTAACCTTCATATTTTACATTTCTTGCAATGCCTTTCTTCAAAATCAATCACATTTAAAGTATTGAAAGGAGACAACTTTGACCTATCCTATCTATCTATCTATCATTTTTGTTTATTCTGTGGGGAGTTTGGAAAGGAAAAAAGTGAACCTATAGGTACACTGTATAAAAGTGTTCTATCTTTTAAATCTATTTATTTTAATTGTTTATTTTATTGTGATTTATATTTATCATCAAGTATAATGTAACATTTAGATATACCTTAGTCTTTTCCTGCCCATTTTAATAGTATACAGGACATTAACAACTGCATTATGCAATAAATTAAAACAATTTTTAGTACTTAATTTTAATTCAACATTTGAATGTACTCTTGAGTCTTAGTTCAGTCATACGTAAACATACTGCTATAACATCACAACACTGAAATTCATAATATTCAAACTGGAAAAAATCTGATATCATGAAACAAACATTGGAATATATTATATTTGCACTACATATTTTACTTTGTGTTCAGTCATCTGCAGCTCTTACATGTTACAGAAAACTATTCAATTATCATACATTTCAGCGTCAAACTTATTTTAAGGTTTCATTACAGATACACAGTCATCTAAAATTTAATTTGTGTAAGCTGTATATGCCGGTCATGGTAGCCGCGCGGTCTAAGGCGTGTACTGTCTTCGCTTGCTCGGAAGCCGTGATTGTGGGTTCGAATCCCACTCAGGGCATGGATGTTTGTGTGTTTTTCTGTGTTTGTGTACAGGTAGAGGCCTTGTGCGATGAGCTGATCACCCGCCCAAGGAGTCCTACCGTATATCTAAGATCTAGAAAAACCGAAGTGAACGGAGAAGTTCATGGAGGTAGGCCTAGGCCCACTGGGGCTGTAGTGCCAAGGAAAAAAAAGCTGTATATATATATATATATATGTTAAAACATTAAAAATAACTCTTCTGTTTATATGATTTTTCCATTCCATCTAGATTTATATATAAACCATACTGCTGAATCCTATGATTCAATTGTAAAATAATACTACGAGGGCAGTTTGAAATGCATTATAAGATACAATACGGTGAACACATTTATCCGGACAGACTACAAATGTTATAAAAAGGAACAAATTAAATAATATAGTATGTAAAAGTTAAGTAAAATTAACTTTTAGACAATTCTATGTGTATAGCATTTTGAGGTTCTAAGAGTGAAATGTAATCCAGTACTTTTATGGAAATATGAATACCCCCAAAGATAACTCAGTGCAGGTCAAAATATTTAGGGCAGAACTGTAATTTATTATGATGTGTCAGTACATCACAAAGTTGTATCTCATAGGTGTGAACTGATTCCCATTAAAATATTTATTTTTCTGTGGAAAGCTGTCAGTCAAGGTTTTTGCTGCAGGAGAATGATGGTTTCAACACCAGTGAGAGTAATATAGGCTTTCCCCATGCCCTCTAAATTCTTCACTTTTGATTAAGAAAAATAAAATAAAAATAAAACAATCATACCAGGCTTCACCATGGTTTTGGTTTCACATTAATTTAAACTCCCCACTCCCACGTACTATCTAGATATGAACATTCTATCCTACTGTCCAAACAGAAACCCACTATATGGGAATTCCCTTCATAAAAATGTAATCCTTCACTGTTGCCAGGCACACGCCAGAAAGGTCAAAATATAGCAACTATATGCAATTTAGATAAGAATTTTCTACCCCTCTAACACTGTCAATCACATTTTGAAAGAAGCAGCTACAGCTAATAAACAGCACTGGTCTGTTCTCTTTATAAAATGGATGCATTTCATATCTGGTACAAACCTTAAAATAGCATGAGTCATACACACATACATACATACATATAACTAAAGAATCACCTCTAAATGGTGTATGAATATACTTTACATATTCAGTTACACATTACTGCAGTGGACGAAAATTATGAACTAGTTTCTTCAATGACTGAAAAATCATATATATGGCAATATTAAACTTCCAACTGCAACAAGAAATTTTCATATTAATAACATCTCTTACCATAAATGTAATCAAGAGGCCTACAAGGGCGGCATTTTGATTTCCCTGAATTTTGCACTTTCACTTTTGTGCCCATCTTGATAGCTCTGTTAGAGCAATATGAAAACAGTGACTTAATTCATCACATGACACTCTGAAGTGGCCATCTTAATATAAGAAACCAGGTACTGGTTGCTATGGCAACCATTAGCTACCTTTGAGTTTGGACTTTTATATACACGAGCAAATATTTGGGAAAATTGTTTTGTTTCTATATGTAAAAGAGTATCACGCTTTTTGCTTAATGACATAGCTGTACTAATGAAGTGTACTAATTTAACCTAATGGGACACAATTACCCAAGAAAAGTGATGTACATAACTGCAAATCTCTACTTTGAATCATGTGCCAAATGTTATTCAGCAACAGATATACAAATGAGTACTATCCATTTATCTGGCAAGTTTTAACTTCTGAAGTATTACTTCTCGAATGATTATAATGCCAGTCATATTAGGAGTAATACATTTAAAAAATGTCAGCACTGTCACTGTGATCTAGAATGATTAAGTAGTTATCACTATCACGCCAAATTATTACACATAAGATATGAGGTTTGCATGGCAATGAAGATTCATACTGTAATCTTACAGGTAAGTGGGTATGAGTTATCTTACACCAGTTTTATGACCTAGAAAACGACAATATGAATATTACTCATGGTTGGCACGTCACTAACTTTACTTATATTAAAAAATATTAACACTTATTATACAGCATTCAAATCTCACACTTATAAGAAAAAGGTGTTCTATATGACAGCTCAAAATGTGTATAATTTTCAGATTTCTATCACTGTACAAAACTAAAGGACTCTGCACTGAATATCAGTAGCATTTCCACCTCACAAGTTCACAAGACTGCAATGTTTGTACTGCTAGAGACAGGGAGTTAATATGGACTGAGACAAATTAACCTTGGCATGTCAGGCTATTCATATTAAGTTTCACAAGGTTTATTAAATCTTCTCAGGCTCATCAGCCATGTCAGTTGGTTAAAATTTCCTGATGTGTTAGGGACCATCTCTGTCTCCATAATCAGGGTAATCATCAGACCTTCATGAATTGGACATTTTATTAACTGTCGCCATGAAAGCTTCAGCACATATATTCATGAAAAGTTATCAATTAATATTTATAACACTGATGTCCAAAAATATAATGTAGGACAGCTATGAAGCACATTAACAGTTCCCCCTCCCCCCCCAAAAAAGAGCATGGTACCTCTAAATGTTAAGGAATCTAACACATGAACATCACATGCAGAACACTATAATAGCTATATTTTGATTAGAGTGTCCCTCTGAAATCCGATGTGTTGACCAACAGCCAATCACTTCATTCATTTAAGGAAGGTACCATGAATATCACTGTGCCAAGATAGCGCAGTTGATCCAGTGACTAGCTACTGGTTGGACAACCAAGGGGGCAGAGTTCGAGTCCTGGTAGTGTCAAGAATTTTCACTTCTCCATGTCATCCAGACTGGCTCTTGGATTCACCCAACCTCCTATCCAATAGGTACTGGGGGAATGAAGTTGACTATTCACCTCCAACTAGTACCAAGTTCAAGAAAATGTCCACTTATACATCCATTCCCCCATTGCCCTCAGGGCATAGTGCTTACTTAGTTAAGGGACCTTTCTTTACCATGTCATTAAAAATTTGGAAGTTGTATTATAACTGGACCCCATAACCTCTCAATTAATAAATATATGTTTGTTCAGCAAAACTGTTCACCACTTTTTTCAAATGACTCATAGCACCGTCCACTGTGATCGATTTATAAAAGTTTTATTTCAATATTTCACTTTCCTTAACATGTTTCAGTTGGGTTGACCATCTTCAGAAGGAAACGATCCACATTTAGAAAACCACTATTACAATGCCATTAATATATAATAGTTTGAAATACATATTTTATAAATCAGTCACACTGGACGGTGCTATGGGTCATTTTATACTATTGCTAGTGTGACGGGACCAGGATGAGCTAAGTCATGTTCACCACTTTGTTTAAAGCTTCATCAATTTTGAAATATAAAAGAAACAATTATCACGACTTCTGACCAGAAGGGATGAGATCCTGCATTCTAAAGTATGGCATAATCATGAGCCACCACTTAACCATACCACATTTACTTCTGTAACATCCTGCAATTTCACTCTTAAAGTGTACTAGTTGCAGTCATGTTACCAGTCTAAATTATTGTCTTACCATCACACTTCCTACAACTGCAGGCACTTAATGTGTGAACTTGTTAACTTCATACTTTGCTTTTATGACAGGAAATACTGCTATAGCAATTACCTCAAGCTTTATTTCATTGTATGTGATTCATTCTGTAGTCATGTGAAATTATTTTGTAAAGGAAAAGATGGATGTGGCAGGATTAACTTGTGCACCTGTAACATGAAGCCCTACCTACCATAGCTCTAGCATCTTGAAGGGGTTCAATGCACACAGGGCTTCCCAGAAGCATAATCACCGAGTAAACATGTGGCCTTATATACTCTTGACTCAATGTATTCCACAATTCCAAACTTTCTGGCCAGTCCCCAAGTAAGTGGAAACAAAGGGTTTTGCATTACATATACACATGATAAACGCCTGAAACATTACAACAATAATTAATTTACTTTGAACTTTTAAATTCAGATTTCTGATAAGTAATATGGCAGGTTCTCAGCAAGTTTGAGAATGAGTTTCGAAAATTAATGAAATCTTTCAATACCACACCTCAACTACCTGCCTAAAGGTGGCACAGGTGTGACTTTTGAATCCTTGTTACCACACAGCTGGATGTTCAAGGTAAACAACACACTACAACCTTCAATCAGAAATTACCCTGTATGGGAAACTCCAAAATCCAATGAGAATCGGATGTAATCTTGGTGCTTAGAACTGTAGTGTTATATACACGTATATATTGAAAATAAATATCTGATCTGTACATAAGATGGGGAATTATTCATTTAAATATACATTCACAAGCATAATAAAAATGTTCAACACAATTACCATGAATCACTGAGCTCATGAATACATCTAGAACAAAGCTGAGGTACTATTTAAGCAAACAGAAAACTAAATTATATACTGTTTATACATTTACCATGTTCCTTTGATTAAAGTGAGGTCCAGGAGACTGTACAGTGCTATCTCTGAGTTAGCTTTGTAGAGATTCCATTTACATATATTGACTTAGCAATCACCATTTAGAAATCAATCAGGAAAATGGTATAAAGTGTCTATGTAAACATCAGACAAAGACCTCAACACATGTATGAAGGAGTTCAATAGCTTCATCAAAAAGCAGACTGGTAGTAAATGTACTGAAATATGTAAGTTCTATTTCATCAGAAGAATAAAGGACTGCAATGGTTACGGTTCACAGACTGAGGCAACTGTGATATAAAATACAATTATGAACAAAAGCTTCAAACACAAGATAAAAGAGCCATAAGAACATTATTTTTAATATCACCACACAGATTACAAACAACAAAAATATAATAATCTGCATCAAATCAAAGTGATTCAACCATTCCCTAATTTCAAGATATCAAGAATGCCATGTTTCACAGTATTTATTTAAAATTGCCAATGAAAGTCATATGATATACCTAAAAGAGTACCAAAGAGTACCAAATGGGACAGAACTCAAGTTTTATTTTGTTCTCCTGTACATTCTCTTTCCAACATTTTGTACTGTTTTATTGTAAATCTTATTTTAATCTTATGTGCAACTTTTTACAATATTATATTTAAGCATCCCATTGCACTCTATATGATATATGACATAAACACCGTCCCAAGTGCAACAATTTATTGTAGTTCTTTTGTCTTGCCCTCTTCTACACTACAAGAGGGCAAGACAAAAGAACTACAATAAATTGTTGCACTTGGGACGGTGTTTATGTCATATATATTATGTGCAACTATTTATTACCTTAAAAGTTTAAAATTTATTTTTTTTTAATTTAGAAGTGACTTTTAAATTTTAAATTAATAAATAGTTGCACATAAGATTGTAAAATAAAATTTACAATAAAATGGAAAAGTGCAGCAGGATGCTACAATACAGTATTATCTTGTACTGTGATTTCATTGCTTCATTAATTTCATAAAATATGTTCATGAAATGTCCAAGAGAAACTGAACACCACAACAAACAAAATATTTTATTTTTATTATTTATTGCATCCAAAGTAAGTTTTCAATGCCTTTATTATTTACATGATCTGACGCATGAAAATAACTAGAAGCAGCTACAGACTATAGTAAAGACAGTCAATCTCATCCCTGAATCAAATCATCCAAAAGAGATTTGCCATGTGAGCCAACACTAGAGCTTAAGGCAAGGAACAGAGAAAGAGTGGAGAGACGAAGACCAAGAGGAACAACAATGATGCTACAGAACTAAACTTTGTTACTCATTAAGTACTGTCACATGTCATACAAACAGGAAAAGGGTGTGTGGACTAGACTGACTGCTAACGCTATAATGTTACAATCATTTCAACTTCTCTATCTTCATTGGCTGGTATGCCCGGATGAATCGTCCCAGCACGGCCACATTAGCGCAAAACAAAGCTATACCCTGCAGCCACAAGTACACAAATGTGTCCTGGCCTCGAAACTCTAGCCAATATGCAGGCAGCAGCCATGCCAGTTGGGCAGCCAGCCAGAGAACTGTAATGGCAATGGCCTGATGACATGACAGGGATAGCCATGGCAGGCACGGTGGCACCAGGGACAGGAACCACACAAAGTACTGTGAAGTGAGAACTGGGTTGTATGCCACCATCACAATTGCCTGGGACAGTACGCAAAATGGAAGATCTCGCCGACATCCATATGCCCATGATAAAGCCAGTAACAAAATTAATTGGGGAACAAATGTGAGCACCCGTTGGGTTAAACCAGCTGGAGCATCAGACCCAAGGTACTGCAAATAGAAATAGACAGAGAAGTTGTGGCGAATGTCTCGTCGACCCAGATGGTACAAGAGACTCTCATATAGGAAACGATATCCATATAATGCGTAACACATACCTGTTAAACTGCCCAGAGTTGCCAAACATGCCAACACAAGCTTGACATGGTTACATGTTGGCTTTAAGTCTGATAATAGTTGTTTCACAGCATTTCTGCAAAAGGCCTCTTTCATGAGAGATATATGCCTGTCTTTATGCACAGAAAGGTACATGGCCAAACTGAATGCAATAGGGTACAGACGGACATGAATAGCTAACCCATGCATCACACCAGCCAACATGAAATACTGTTTCTCTAATAACAGGAGTGTCCCCAACACAAACATAGCAGAAATAGAATCCGCATTACCACGTGTGGCAATCACGATCGCCAGGGGATTGTAGACCCAAGCCATTAAGCACCATGTGGCCACACGTGTAGATGAACCCTGCGCTATAACTAGGAATTGTATTAACAATGCAACACATATATCCACCATAGAGAATAGAAGTTTTCCCCATGCAGGATGCAGGATGAGATTGGGAGTCAGGACTGCAGCCAGAAGAGGGGTGTAACGATATGTATGACGGTTATAAGGTGATGACCCCAATAACATGTGCCTTGCTGCATCTGTGAAAACACGGTAGTCAATATCAGTGTATTGTACGACTGATAATCTGTCATGTACCTCTCCATAGGCTATTAATGCAAAACGAATGCACAGTCCCAGAATACAATGGGTACCAATACTACTCATCCTCAACATATTCTTCATATCACAGCAGCTACAGTACATCAGACAATCCCAGAAGTTGCCACTATTATGTACACAAATGTTACTTCAATTTATTCACATTTGATACAGTTCTCAGAAGAAAGTTCAAAGACGGGTTCCCATTCGACGAGCAGCCCTCTGTAAGCACTGTCGAAGTTCTTGGAATTCACGATCACATTCGGCCTGCTTAACATTCTCTTTGGCCAGCACACAGGTGGCATATGCAGCAGCTGGGGCACTGCACTCTATCAACAGCTCTGGATAGCGCCTCAAACGTTGTCGAGCTTTCTGCACAGATTCCATTACAAACTATCTAAATCTGAAAACAAACAAAACCACTAAAAATTCTAAAACAGTGAATTTCATTACAGCTATACTGCTCATTAGTGGTAAGGTGTACATGTCAGACAACCTTTACACTATCTTTATCTGTGTGTTTTCTTTATACCACACCCTTGAAGACAGAACAGTTCAGAGAAATGGAATTATGCTGAACAGCACAATCAAACCTGTTTCACTAAATATACTGTACTGCAACACCAACTCTGTTTTCAGAAACATCACACAGAATAACAGAAAAGCAAATAAATCTAAGATGAGGTCCTATTCAGAATTCTGTATTAAAGATAAAAGTATATACACCAATAAACGTCTTAGCCAAATCCAAGAGCCGCGTGAATTTATTCATCGCATTACATAGGCAACAGGCGACAGTATAAAAGATCATCAACACCCTCCAGTGTGATCGATAAATGCTTTTTTAATAATTCATCCTCTACATGTTTCAGTCGGAGTGACCATTTTCAGAAGGACATATCAATATATGCTGAAACCACTATTATAATGTCACTGGTCAATGAACACAGACAACACTATTACAATGTCATGAATATAAAATATTTGCTTTTAGCAGGGATTAAATACTGCATGGATGTCTAAATTGTGGTAACAAATAGCTGGCTGATATATGTTTCTTCACACATACTAAAATGCTTAAAACTTTATAGGCTCAACTTACTTTCAGTATCAAGCTTCCAAAATTAACAGGGCATTTATTTTTTAAATGGAATATTGAAGACTTGTTACCATACACCAGGAAACGTTTTTTTTGTATGAATACAACAGGCAGGTAGTTTTGAGAGTAATTTATAGTTTCTGTTTTCTTTACAAGTCCCCAGTTTGTATACAAAAGCTAGCAAGCAAGAAGTAAAGCTATCCCTGCACCAGGCCGCGAAGGCCCATGGGGTTGGGAGATGTTGAGGGTCCCACATTATCTAGACAATCGGCTCAAAGATAGTGGTAAGCTTGTCAGCCTTACACGCCAGCCATGCTTTACTCCCCAGGAAAATTATTTAATTAATTCCTGGTACTCATTTCTGTTAGAGGTTGAGTCAACCCCAGGGCCATAATGCGGCTGGAAGGATTAGGTCAACTGAAAAAATACTATGACCTCATCGGGACTTGAACGCGCGACCTTCCAGCTTCCAGCATAGTGCCTCAACCAACTACATTGCCGTGTGCCCCATACAGAAGCTAGCAGAAATCATAAATGAATTATCACACAATTCTGTGAACATTTCCACCCGTACAGATATCCAATATGTGAAATGCACGATGCCACAGAATCTGAGAGGTTAATATTCTCTGCTCATGTTTGGAAGCAGATAAATACAATAACTGATAAAGGCATCTGTACAACTCTCTGTGCCTTGTTCAGGTACTTTTGTTTTCTATATAACTATCATAATAACTTCAATATTGCAGAAATGCAAGAACTTCTTTTATCACTCACACTAATGGGTATGACTGCATCAATTGGCTCACTTCTGCAGTGGAGGCTCAGCAGGAACAGGAGGATATTCCCTGATGAAAATATCATACAGAGGACGACTGAACAGTATAAGCAAACAAGATGTAGTGGACGTTAAAACAAACAGGCGAGGGTTGCGCCTGATCCATCCATGATCCTTCAAAACTTTCCGTCGAATGAATGGAGGCGGTGGCTTCATTGTTTCTTGTTCTCAGGCTGGAAACAGAAACACCCCATAACCCCATGTTTCTCACATGATCATCCAATAAATTTCAGTGGTGGTTGTTGTTATTATTATTATATGTTTAAAAATGTATAAAAGACTTCCACACAATATTAGATGGGTCACATCAAGGCACTATGGTGAACTCCTGCTTATCCAGCATCCAAGCATCCATAATTCTCATCCAACTAGCAAAATGAAAAAGAAAATACTGTTTTTATGACGTTATTCAACTACAAACATATGTATCTTCAACTGCCATGCAGTAGTTCACCCAGCCACGAGCACCAGCACTACCCACTGTTCTGTTGATGTCAGGCAAATCTGTACTCATGTCACAGCAAATGTATCTAAAAGCTTTCACGCACCAATCCACTATGATGCCTAGAAAGGCATACACAAAAGAATTAAAGTGAAAACAAGTTGTTTGTACCTTGTACTGGTTTTGTGTAAGATTTCTTCTCATGCAACCAGCAGACACCATTCCCTGTGCATGTTGAGATAACAGGGATTTACCATATTCTGGTAAACAGGAACAAAGTCATACCCCCACCCCCCCCNTACATGATTATAACAGACGTTTTTTTGAAGCAACAAACACGCAGGTCAATAAAACAGCTGACCTGGGACACATATATATATGATTTACTGAATTTTCAAAAGTCTCATTCCATTGAAATGTCAACCTAGGCATGTCAGTGAATCATGTAGTTTCACATGGAATCGGGCTCTTACTTTATAGCACGCTGAAGATTATGAGAGAAACTCCCGAGTTCACTTGCTTATCTACACATCTTTGCTCACTTCTCCGCAATTGTTTCACAAAATTATTTCAACATCAATCGCCAATTTCATAAGGCAAATGAGAAAATTGTGGGAGGAAAACATAATAAATGAGCAACTAAAAGACTGACTGCTGTACCATGCACGATATACCATTAAACTTTCTGCATGCATCACATTAGGGCAACAGCAACACCTTGTACTGACGCCTGAAACCTTTGAAAGTTCTATAATATGTCTTGGTTCTGTGTTGTTTTTGTAAACTGGGGGAGTTTTGTTGTATATATATAGCTGATATGTTCTTTTTTTTTTTTGTTTTATATTATAAATGCCTTGACTTGTCACCCATTTTATACTGTGGATGAATTTTTTGTATATACTAGTCGGTAAGATTAATTGTATTCTGGTTCTATTCTTATGTCTTCACTTAGTTCTTTGTACTACTTATTTACCTAATATTACTTTTCCACATCCTAAAGTATTTGGATTTTATGGAAATAATAGATGAGTCATGAGTTCCATACTGGGGGAGTTGTATATATGGCTGATATGTTCTTTTATTTTGTTTTATATTATGAATGCCTTGACTTATTCCTGTGGGAATGGAATGCTTGCTTTTTGATCTGTGACTCATTCTATAACCAATGGTTGTTTCCCAGCCTGTATCTGGATCTATTTTTGAATCTGAAATAAACTGAATTGAATTGAACACGGTCTACCTGTTAAACCACTCTGTTTTTCAATACCAATTCTGTTATTCCCAAGTTAAAACATAACCAATAACCCAAGTACTGTGACATTCAATGTTCCCTATTCCCAGACAGTAAACTGCTATCCTTGGTTGAACACCTTGCCACAAACTCTGTGGTATCAGGAAATTTAAAGTACCATATTCACAGATGAAAAATGTTAAATTTAAAACATAAATGCCAGGCACCAGTGAAGCATGAATGCATGAGCATATACGCACACCATTTTGTATCTCCTGCAGGTTCCATTTTACAGTTTTGTAGCTTAACCTTCACAGTCACAGCCTTCAAAAATCTAATGAATATCTGACCAGAGTTCATCACAGTTTTCCTCAGTCCCTTGCTGTAAGTACCATATTCACAGATGAAAAAGGTTAAATTTAAAACACAAATGCCAGGCACCAGTGAAGCATGAATGCATGAGCATATACGCACACCATTTTGTATCTCCTGCAGGTTCCATTTTACAGTTTTGTAGCTTAACCTTCACAGTCACAGCCTTCAAAAATCTAATGAATATCTGACCAGAGTTCATCACAGTTTTCCTCAGTCCCTTGCTGTAAATGTCAAGACAGTACTTTGATAGAGATAATAACCACTTCTTACCTGTGTCTTTTCAGTTTACCCCTCCATCTTATTCAATGATAGCAGAATCTAGTTCACGCATGTTATTATTTATTGATATACAGTATCCCACAATCACACAGGATCAAAGAGTATATGCTCAGTGAATAATGAATTGGGTAAGATGTGGAAGGAAGTGGTCGGTGTAATTTGAGGTATTCTCCTGGCATTTGCCTGAAGGGACCGAGGAAAGACATGAAAGTCCTTAGTCAATATATATGTGCTGGCAGAGATCTGAATTAGTCATTCCCAAATGTAAGCCAGAAGCAATGCTATTTGATAAACAACTTGCTTAGCTGAGTTCACACCTTTAAAACCAAATTCTCCAGAATTAATCTCAATATTATTGTCCCACCAACGTCCAGGCATTTTGAATGACCCTTTCACATGAGTTTCCAAAAAACATTATATGCATTTGTTTCTCCCAACACCACTGGTGAAAATCTTTCATTTCATGGAAACAGTAAGGAACTCTGAACCACCAGAAATACAGCCTATAGCTATAGGGTGCCATTACATAAAAAATGGATCAATATTTGCACTGAATCACCGTGGAGGCCTGAAAACTTCTATAAACTACATTTCTTTCAGACATTGTGTTAAAGTCTGTTACATTTAAAAAGTAAACTCAATTATGAAGTCTGTTTCCATCCAGTTTATGATTTGGGCCCATGCTCTAATTTCCCACACTTCTTGAAATGCAGTATTTTATTACAGAATAAAAGATATTTTTAGAAAGTATTGAAATTGCTCAACTCTTTTGTTTTATAGCTTGAAACACCTTCAAAAACAAATCTGGCCAAGCATAATCTGTGATCATGTGATTTATAAAATATCTCATTACATTGTGATTGTCATAGGTTTGAATTTATCTCAGAAAATTAAGGTCCTTCTCTCAACTTCTCCAAGCAACACTGTGTT